GAGGAATCCATATGTCGAGCTTTGAGATTAAACCTAGGCGTTTCAAATGATCACGAACGGTCGAATTCGGTAAATTTAATTTCTCAGCGATTTCACGAGTTGTTATTCGCCGGTTTGCATCAATTAATGCCTTTATTGTGTTTTCATCAGCTTTAAGTGGCCTTTCAGGACGTGGTGCATCTTCGATATCAAAATTGCCGGATCGAAATTTTGCAAACCAGTTTTGACCCTGGCGTTCCGTCAATACATCTTCCCCATACACGTCGGATAATTTTTTTCTTACTTGAACAGCATTTCTACCTTTTCGATAGTAAAAAAGAAAAATATGCTGAAAATGCCGCTTTTCACTTTCCATATTTGAAAGGGTACCAACCAAAAACTACAGCGTAGACTCAATCAAACTTTTTCACAAGCAAGCCATGCTAGATCAGCAGTCAAAATATATAATGATTATACGGCTTAAGTGTGAAGTTGGCCGTGAAAAAAAAAATTAAGTCCTCTGTTGGGAAACAACGAAATTACTTTCCAAACAACCCAATACTTATTTCGTGACACATACAAAATATATAACAGCTCTAGTAGACATCTGTCAAAGGTTTATCAACATCGTTGTAAATACGTTTAGAAAAGTAAAAAAGACACCTCATGTAACCTAACGTTTTTTATATATAGTTAATGTCTACATCCAAATTTTAACTTGATAAAACTGTTAATTTTGTTCATACTCTGATTTTTATTTACTTCCTCTTTGGCTGGTTGTCGTACATCATAATTGTTTACCACTGTATAAATTATGATGTATTACCAGGCATCGAATGAAGAATAATATACTTATAGTGGATGTACAAATTAGGACATAAGTATAGAAAATTACATTATCTATGGTATGCATAATAAAAGTATCCTGTGAATATATATGTGTATCTTTTCACGTCTATATTTTCAGTACATATATCATAGAAGTCCAGATAATCTATACAGAAATCTAAACTATTCGAAAACGTTAAATTGTTCAAAAACCGATAAATCGCTAGTTTATATTCAGACTAATAGTTTATATTCAGCTTTCACAGACTTATGAAAATGTAGTTACCCCTGTAAAAAATTGCGCACATTTAAATGAAACATCTTTAAATAATATTCATAAAATTCCCGCACTTTTAGTGTATAAGGTTGTACTAAAATTATGAATTTAGTATCTTAAAAGTGAATCGGTATACATTTATTATACACTTTTAAATAAAAAGATGATTAAAACATACTGTTACAATTTTTTAAATGACTTAGTTTTACAATCATTTATGAGACTTTTTTAAGAACATATTTACAACAAGATGCAAGAAATATCTTTAGCATCGATCGAGAAGTACCGGAGCGGTCTTCACAAGTCCGAAAAATGTTTATTTTTTCATAGCCTTTGGTAGCATCGTGGTCTGGATTCAAACATACCGTTACAATTTTTTAAATGACTTAATTTTACAATCATTTATGAGACTTTTTTAAGAACATATTTTCAACAAGATGCAAGAGTATCTTTAGCACCGATCGAGAAGTACCGGAGCGGTCTTTACAAGTCCGAAAAATGTTTATTTTTTCATAGTCTTTGGTAGCATCGTGGTCAGCGTTACAGCTTCCTACCCGTGAGTTCCAGGTTCAAGTCGTGTTACCCATGGGACAAGCCAGCATTCTCTTACGGTCGTTCGTGAAAGTATTTTTCATGTTTTCCTATTTAACTCTGTAATATTCCATTTTTTTATAGTATTCTAAATTATTTGAGGTAGGTCCTGAAACTTTTCATTTTCATTTCTAAACTTTCAAAAAGCGTAAAACATGCACGGGACAAACACATGAAAAACGTGCATGGACGATGTCACCTTGGTTCTAGTCCAAGCTAAATAAGCAAATTTTTATAAAAAATAAAATTGTATGACTTTCAGGACCTACCTTAGGACCTCCATATTCACGTGGTAAAATTTGAAACAAACAGGTACACCCAATTAGGAGAATACCGTCACGAATGATTTGACCTTCCAGGTCTACATAGGCTGACACTTTCATATCACCTTAAGGTAAAGTAAAACTCCCTTCAAATCAGTCGATTCGAATACAACACTTTTTTTTAAGGGTATAATAAACGTTTAATACATCTCTATTTAATAGACTCCTGTATCTGCGATATTACACATGCAAAAGACATCTAATGAACGTATGTTGTGTGTATATTAAGGTAAGAAAAATTGACCTGCTACAGACGTAAAATATACGTACATTTTATGTAAACAAATATAAATTATTTTATTCGTATGTTTGACATACGTACTCTATACGTTCCTAGAGCACCCACGTTTTCACAAATAAACGATGTATACTAAACGTATAATATACTTCTATTTAAAGCGTACTTGTGTCTGACATATCACACATGCAAAAGATATGTAATATGTGTAAGTTGCGCGTATATTAAGGAAATGAACATTAATTTGCCGTATATATATGACACATATATTTTACATACGTATAATAACAAACATAAAGGGAAATTTATTTCTACCCATAAAGTACATAATACAACAAATACTTGTAATACGTAATACGTGCTTAGATGTATTCAAATAACATGGTACATTAAATGCTTTTTTGCTGCATGTTTGTTATATGCTTCCATAGGTGTACGACCTGACTACTGCAGACTGAAAGTGAAGTCATACAAAATCAAAATGATGTCACGAGACATATCGTTTTGGCCGCGACGGTTTTCTTATACAAATACAAGTATTTGCAAGGAATATATATATTTGCCACAGGGCATATACCAGGACACTAGTATTTTATCGTTGCAATCAATGCAACTCATTGCGATGAACAAACGATCACTTTGATTTTTTTATTCTATTAATGCGTTTCTTATATATAACGATTATAACCAAGATTGGCAGTTACCAGGCATTGATATAGCGGGTAGGCACGTGACCCTAAGGCCTCCACGTGGCCGTGGCCCGCAACGCGAAAAATGGCGGACGGTGGGTCGCGTGTCGAGGAGGAATACTAGCCCTTTCTATCGGGGGTGGAGCGGAAGTGAATTTTTAAATGCCTTTCCCATAACCTGGTTCGCTTACCGGTATGGTGCAGGCAACACCCTAGAGGCGGCAGTTACGATCACGGTCCTGCTCAAGGCTCGTGGCGGTAGAAGAAGGCGGTTTCTCACACTCCCAGCGGCTGCCATCCCCGGCATGGCAAGGTTCACCGAAACTTTTTTAATGTCATTTAATGGGGTGAGGGGGGGGGGGGGTGAGCACTATTCATCTGTTTTATTTAGATTCAGTGATTTATACAGGATATTCATTTGATTATATTCGTAAAGCTACATCTTATTATTTAATTAATTGTACGAACGAACTGAATTGGCCTCAATTTTGTTTGCGTTCATAAATGTCAATGCATGTGTTACCTAATCACCTGTACTCCTTCAAAAGAGGGAAATGCATTAATCTAATTTATGTTTCGGCAGAAACAGGAAGGAGAATACTAAGGCGAATAGTAAAGCAAAGCGCACCTTGCAAGAGAGAATCTCGCGTCAGCATTCCGCAATTGATACGCGGACATATATCGTTACACTTCCGCAAGCCGCTAGCGCGCGACCTCCAACGTCCTTGTCTCGTGACGATCCGTTTAGCACAGTATATATTTTGCGCACCATACCCCCATGGACATTGTACTCCTTGCATTATAAATAGAACTTTTTCATTCAATATAAAACGACGACTTGATTCTCACGAAACCTTAAAACACTCCTGTGTCCTCATTGCAACTTTCCAACCACCCTCTGAGGACCAAAAACCTATCGATCCAACAAAACAGGTGGACCTAGCCGCTCAGGTTATCCTCTCCATGTTTCTCAAATCATAAACTGGTTACGCGTGCGTACGAGTTAATTTCTCTACAAACAGTATACCGCTTGGAGGAATCTGCAAAATTCCCCCGGTCTCGCAAGCCACTCGGCCGCCACATAACAAGACGTAGGACCTTGGGTCTCCTCCTGGTCAATATTATAGAGATAGGACACTTAATAACTACCGGTCTGGATGAGCGCGTCAGTTTAGTGTCCAATAGAAACGCAGAAGCTCTGTCCGTCACCTGGACCTCTCTGACGAGTAGACTGTATCACAAGGAACAGCTGTGCGATTCGATACTCCAGCGATCACAAGCCAAAAGCAGGAGGAACGACGACGCTGTGGTTTCCAGATCAGCGAGAGGATCTAAGGAGACTCCAACCTTAGGGCCCGCCCCGGTTTGAAAGCGTTCGTGTGCAGTTTCTTGCATAGCTGACCGACATGACGTCGTATCAGCCGAAGCCGGCCGACCGCACCTAGAGGCGAAGCCTCCCTAGCGGCTCCCCCATTTCTGTGGGGTTGTACTCCGTACCCCACCCAGCAACCCCACCGCCATGGGGGCCCGAAGGCTCAAGACGGGCTGGAAAAACCCGAATGCTCCGGACCGCTCGTACAAACCCAGGGAAGGCGCTTGCCGGGTCGGGGCCTCCGCGACGCACTCCCCGAAGGGAGGCCGCTTGACCCCGCCCGTTGCCCTCGGGGAACTTCGTGGAGGTCCCTCCCCTGCACCCGCGTGGTGCGAGCATTCGTGCAAGGCCCCAGCTGAGACGCAATGCTCCAGCGTGGGTTGGCGCGCGTTCCAAGCTAAAGCGGATGGGAGCCCAGCCCATCGGCCGAGATAACCCGGCGAAGTCGGGCCGGGCTTTCCCATTTATCGGCCTGTACTAGCGCGCCACCTTCTTATTACGGCCGGTGGGGCCGGTCCCCAACCCGCACCCGGAAAACCGGGACGCGGGACGGATTACCCGGAGCACCCCCAGCCGTCCGGTCGAGAAGTATTCCCATGACGAGGGCCACCTTTCGCCGGTAACTCTAGGGGGAACAAGAGTGCGGTCAACTCCGCAGAGCGAGCATCTCTCATGGTTCTCCAGTAGCCATTTGCCGTTTCGTTCCGGATCCCATAGCCGACCGACAGAAAGACAACACCAATGGTAAGCGTCTGTGAAGCAGTTTTAATTGGTTGCAGAGAAACAGGGGAATGGGGGGGGGGACTTCCGCCGTATGTTATTTGTAGCCAATCAAAACTTATTCCCGTTTCGTCGTTCGTCGCTGTAGCGCGAATGAAATTTCGGCCTAATGAGACCAAAGTTGCGATTACTGGATGCCATCATTTTTTAAGTGGCAACTAGAATTTCGCATCAGCCACTGTGAGCAAGAACATATTTAATGTTAGATTGATCAGAAGAAAAATTATCACGGACCATGTATCAGCAATGCGACATTTCAGAAGAAAACGACGAAATAATATAAAGAACAAATGTTCGAAGCATTGATGTTAGATAAGTGTGATTGAAAAAGCTTATTTTTAACATTTTGCCGAAAGCTTAGACAGCATTAGAACACATGACGGGACGGATTTGTATTTCAGTTATGAAATATCGGTTTCTAAACGTATTGTAATTTTTCATTATGAAAATTCGCAACCTTGGCTGCGTTTTTGGTCGCTACTGAGCGGTAGCCCTTAGGTGTAGTTAAGAGCATACAAAAACAGATAACAGTATAAAAAATACATAATGTTTTCAGGAATGACATGTAATATTTTAAGGTATGTTACATTACCGTACCTTGCATATGTAGAACAACTAATATTATTAATTTGCTATAATTTACGTACCACTGATTCAATTCATTGTACAAGACTAGATCAATTGTAATTATACTAATATGACTGACATTGCGTGTGTAAAATGAGGGATTACTCCCAATATAAAATTCCATAAATAAAATTAAATAGCTGGCTGATCTTCTTTTCTTCAACATTCTACTAGGTTTTTTCCGGAAGGCCGCCGACACTTATATGTTGCCAGTTTGCCTGTAACGAAAAGAGATTATACATTTTGTATACTTACGCGATTCTGCAGTACACGTATGCCTAGTGTGTATGCATGCGTACACACACAACACATGCATAACACTCATACACACAGTGCACTCAACGGCGAACAACTTCAGTAATTTCAAATTAAGTTGCGTGAGTATTATTCATTGTTTCATATGGATTGATAAATTCTGATGAATAAAAATAAAAACAAAAATTATCAAGAGCTTTTTTTACCAATTTCAAGAATACATGTGACATACATGTATTACATGCGCTATTATTTATATGAAATGATAAAAAGCGTTAAGGCGATGTGAAAGTGGCATCTAAAGAGTCAATAATTCAGCAAACTTCTCCGAACTGGGAGTATCAAATTGTTAACAATTTTACACCGTAAATATAGAGGCCCTAAGAAAGGTCGTGGCGCCTATAAAACTTCATTTTTTCCATTTTGTTATAAACATTCGTTTTTAATTTCTATAAAGTGTGACGAACAAACGAATCGAAAACGAAATGAGGGGATAGGTTCCGGGCCCGCAGCGCCCGGAAGATCGCTCGTCACCTTTGTCCGATCGTCCAGACGGATCCATTCTAGCTGGTTTTAAAACGAGATTATACATAATTTTATTAGAGGGTTGTTACAACCCTTAAAATTCGTTTTTCCAAAAAAAACCAAAATATGCTTTGTTTGTATTGTTCTGGTCTATAAATACGGGATAGGTTCCGGGCCCGCAGCACCCGGAAGATCACTCGTCACCTTTGTCCGATCATCTAGGCGGATCCATTCTAGCTGGTTTCAATACGAGATTATACATTATTTTATTAGAGGGTTGTTACAACCCTTAAAATTCGTTTTTCCAAAAAAACCAAAATATGCTTTTTTTTTGTATTGTTCTGGTCTATAGATTAACCAAGTTTCATTTGGATAGAGCAGTTACTGCTCGCGTAAGGGGTAAAAGAAGTATTCAAAGGGATGGCTCACCCCTTAAAAATGAATTTTTTCGAAAAATTCCAAATGCATGTTTCATAATTCTTCATTCCCTACATTTTGACGGTTGTTTCATGAAAAACGGTCGAGTGCTTCTATATGAAACAGTCAACTCACCCCCTTGCCCGGCGAACTTTGAAGCCTGATTTCACCCCCTAAAAGTGTTTATCCGCCGATAAAAAAAAACCACGGGTCCCTTAGATTTTAGTCCTCTATAACATATTTAAAAATAAACAAAGTCGCAGGGGGACACCTCAGGTACCTTCCTTGTGAGTTGTAACGGCTTTCTGAACACCGGTATAAGCTGGTACATTACAATTACGTTGGTGTACAAGCTGGGAGATGACTTAAGATGTAATTTTTCTCGGAGTTAACGTGGCGCGTCGATTTATTATCACGCGTGTACTTCAAATGACATTACTGGCGAAAAAGGTAGAAACTGGAGATAAAAGATTTTTTATTTGACCAACGTCGATTAAATTTTTTGGCGCCTTTCGCATCACCTTAACATGCATTCATATCGATTATTAATTAACAAGTTTCCAATATTAAAATTAAGCATAGACACAGAAGGAGAAATTAAAAACGTAAAGTATTTATTATTTCATATACCAGGTGTATAAGCTTAAATCCGCTGTTTGCTCATAGATTGCGTTAGTGAGCATGTTAAGTTACTATGGACATGCCATACTTTTGTTTAGTATGAGTTTGACATCTGTCAACAATTAACAGTGCACATCATCAGCAATTTCATACAACAACATACATTTTTCCTTTGGTAATCATGTCTAGTTTTTTTGCCAGAAAAAGCATATGCGGGAAGCTCGGCCTTTCAGCTTCAATTTTAAGAAATCGGCTGCCGAATTGCATCGAATGTTTGTGGAGGCCTATGACGACAGCGCTTTACCGGAAACAAAGTGCAGAGATTGGTTTCCTTGGTTCAAAGACGGCAATTTTGACCTGAGCGACAAGAAGTGTTATAATCGGCTACAATAAGTGTTAGAATTGGCCCAGGAAGGCTGAGGACCATCAATTGCACGCTCGTTTGGACGAGGACAATACTCAATCGCAAAAAATGCTTGCCGAGCAATTGGACGATACTCAACCAGCGATTTCTATGCGCCTACGTGCCATGGGAAAGGTTCAAAAGATCGGAAAATGGGTGCCGCATGAATTGACCTATAGGCAGATGGAGTGACGCCAAAACACATGCGATATCTTGCTCGCTAGACAAAAGAGAAACTCGTTCCTGCATCTGATTGTGACTGGCGATGAAAAGTGGGTATTTTTCGAGAATCCTAAACGCAAGAAATCGTGGGTTGATCCCGGCCAACCATTAAAATCGTCCGCAAGACCAAATCGCTTTGAGCGGAAGACGATGCGGTGCGTTTGGCGGAATCAGCAGGGTATCGTCTACTATGAGCTGTTGAAACCAAGTGAAACGGTCAATGCCCACCGGTGCCACCAACAACGGATTAAATTGCAGTGTGCTCTGCGTCAAAAAAGGCCGGATTATCAGCAAAAACATGACAAGCTGATTTTCCTTCACGACAACCCACCATCGTACACGTCAGAAATAGTCCGAAACTACTTGGAGGCACTCAACTGGGAGGTGCTACCCCATGCCGCTTATTTACCAGACCTGGTCTCTTCCAACTACCACCTGTTTTCGTCGATGTACCACGCGCTCGCTGAGCAACACTTCGATTCTTATGAAGACGTCCGACAATGGCTTGATGAATGGTTTGCCTCGAAAGAGAAGGCATTTTTTTGGCGTGGTATCCACAAATCGCCCGAGGGATGGGACAAATGTGTAGCTAGCGAGAGCCAGTACTTTGAATAAATTATTTTGTAACGTTAGGACACGAGGCGCGCGGGTTAGGTGGCGTCCTCGTGCGCCACGGTCCACGTTCGGGTCTCTTCCCGCGACAGTGGTCCGCTTGGAGGGTCTTAGTATCCCCGAGGAGTAAAGTCTGGGTGGAGTAAAGTATCCTTGACTCGATAAAAATAACAGAGTTTATTGACTGGTGTTTGTCCGTTGCCGGTCGACGTCACTCGGTTGCGGTCTGCAAGCGAAACTGTTGGAAGCACACCGGATACAAACGGTATCGTACTTAACCACTTGCGCTACGATTTAATTTTCGGATGCCGTGCCGCGCTCTACAATACAACATGCGGTATAACATCCGTACAACATACCCTATCGATTCTGAAATATTTCCAAGATATCGATGACGCTACGCGATGTCGTGCACTCTGGAACTGTAGCTCGAATAATGAACGATCCAACTGTTAGCCGACGTGCCGAACACGTCGATTTTGTTTCTGCGACAAATGCCTAACGACGTGGTATACATGTCGCTGGCAGTTTTGGAACAAAAGCATCTCGACGTGCGTGGCACGTCTTTATAGCGCAAGTGGTTAATGCTAATTGTTACGGGATCTCTGCTTTGTTAATACAAGATGCAAATATCGGTTGAATGCTACTGGTTTACAATATGACTTATACGTTAGTTGTGGTAATGACTCTAGCCCTACTGTTCGAACTCCCGGATCGGAGAGGCGATACGACGGTACAGGTCTGGTTCGTGTCGTCTCTGTACGGAATTGTTTTCGGAGATGCGAATTCGCGCCTATAGTGATTCGAGGTCTCGTTCTGCGAATCGGTTTTTTGAGAGTCTATGTGTAGGCGGGTTTCTTCCCTTCCTACAACTCTGACTCTCTTGGCCTCTTATAGTGCCCGGAAGGCTCGCGCGCCTGCGAGAGAGCACGGGCCGTGGGTCGCCGCGTAGCGGCCGCGGCGCGCACTAGTTGGCCGGCGTCGGGCTTGCGGGAACCGGGCGCCGGGCTGCGGTGCCCGGCCGTAGTATTGTGCGAGTCGTGTGGCTCGGCCAGGGGGTCGACACTCCTTATGGGAGAGGTGTAACGCTGAAGTTAGTTCACCTACTCCAAGCAAAGACTGCGCTGGTGTCGTGACTTTTCAGTCGAATAGAAAGAGAAGAACAGAGAACAAATTTTCTAACCAATAGCAAGAGACTCCAGGAGGCGCAGCGTAGATGCGCATAAAAATAATCGGGACAACTGAACCAAAGTGAACCTAACCTCGATTAGTGGCAATATTTTCACAAGTTTCGATTACCTCGGGTATTAAATCGCGAACGTGAGTTTGCCAGTAATAGTGTAAATCAAGAACAGTTTGTAGTTTCTTACTATAATAATTGTAATAATTAAATGCGATCTATAGATCGCATTTAATCCATGCAAGTAATCATAGCAAAAATTAAATTTGTATAGAATTTGTATATTTATACATTCATAATAATTAATATTTTTATCTTAATAAATATGTGACTTTTTAACTAATGTTCAATGTAATTATTTCAGTTCTTACAGTGATTTAAAACAGGCATTGCACCACTGACACTTTTTTTACTTATTTTATGTTTAATATACTGTTTTCTTACATTTGTGTGTGTCAGTTTAAGCAACGCCTGTTTTAATCATCGCAAGTACTTTTTAAATCCCGAAAATATCCCTTCGTTTAATAAATGAATTTGCATAGCCCGCCAAATAATTTAGTTCGCGAAGAAGGTTTACTCCAACCGAAGATGGCAGTAGTGCATAAAGCGTTACACCCCAATACATGGCAGTGTCGACCCCCTGGGCTCGGCCTCGGGGGCCTTGGTCCAAGGCACACGGCTTGTTACAATTTTTTTGCTTTCTATGAAAAAACATGCATTTTTCTGACTAAAAAACAGCGGATTTAAGTATATACACCTGGTAAACTAATCATCTATTTATTGTTGATTAAAGAAAGATTAAAGAATATAATTAATCAATTGTTCGTTAGTTTCATACCCCAATTCCCGTGGTCCACCCCGTACCAGCAGGGTTTTCGGCCGTGGTACCGATTCTTCGACAGACGATACCAGATCCAGAAATCGCCCATGCTTGTCGTCCATCTCGTGTAACGGCAACGTGTCGAAAACCTTGTTTTGCAGTCATGACTGATAAATCTGTATCGAAATAAATATCCTTATGATAATTCAAATTTAAATGCGGTTATATTAGGTTATCCAGAAATTGACTGCGGTGTTTACTATTAGAGATTTGACGAGTTATTTCAAGAAAAAAATATTTTTCCTTTATGATAATGTTATGTACTATTTTAAAGAGCAGACTTCTGTGTACATAATTTCAAAATGATTGGATTAATTTAAAAAACGGTTTGACGTGGTTTTTATAACCGCTTAATCCATATCTGATAACAGAATATTGAAATTCTAGGTGGCTGATCCAATATGGCGAATAAAAATGTCCATAAAAATGGCATCGACTAAGTCATAGCAGATTTACCGAATTCACTGTTCAAAGAAACGTAGTATTTCCGTGAAAGAAGTGAGAAAATGTCAACACTGTTCGTTATAACCTACTAATGAAAATAAATGACACAGAAGAAATCAAAATCGTTACACAGACAATTTGATGTAGTTTAGTATTACCAATATGAATCGGGTCATTCGGCATTGTAGGCAAAGTTTGCCAACAGGTTCCACCTGGGAGATCATCTTCTCGGATTCCACGCCGAACGAACAGTCTACCCATAGTGTCTAGGGCCCATACCACGTTTTTACCCACTGCAATTTGTTTTAGATGAACGCCTGAAGGGGGTTCAACGTTTGCCCACTGATCACCTGAAATCACAATACATTACCGTACATTTCAAATGTAATGAACAATCTCGTATGGAACACATTTTGTTTTTATTAAAAAACAAAACAAACTAATAATGCAGTAACAAACTGATATAATGTTCTTATAACCACAGTACGGAATTTGAAAAACCAGCCTGACTTGTACCGATTTAATCCCATATTAGGCATCGATAATAAAAAAAAAAAAAAAAACGTACAAAATGAAATGTGGCCTAATTAATAATTTAATTAGTTTTAAACTAATTAACATAACATGATATGATAAGGCAAACTTGGCGAATTGTCAACAACTGGATGGTCGAACATACGCTCTATTAGCACACGAAAAGATCGAGTTGGAGGCATTGACAGGTCGAAAACGCGTCTAGAAGATTTACTTGCAGCTCGCATGGAATTTGGCCGCGGCATTAGAAAGATTCATGCCGAGTACATGGGGTTTGGGCTGGTTTGTGAATGATTCTAGCGTCAATTGTACATTGTTCTGTTGTACGCAGCTCTGGTAGGGGCCCATGCAGCTAAGCTTGCAACCAACAATTTCCGTATTACTTGGGCGCAGCGGATTATTCACCTGCGAGTATGTTCCGCTTACAGAATTATATCAGTGCAGTAATGTGTTCCGCACGTTATTGCACTTTCTCAACCTTTAGATATTGACATTGTAACGGGGATATGGTTGGGCTGGGAGGGTGAGGGACATGGAGAGGGAGAGGGAGAGGGAGAGCAAAATTTTGTATATCGGTATATTTTGAAAGGTACATATGTAACTTATTTTTCTACATAGTCGCCTTGAACTTCGATACATTTTTCATACCTTGATAACAGTTTTTTTAGACCCGTGTCAAACCACTCTTCCGCCAAACTGTTTAACCATCTTTCTACTCCTTCTTTCAATTCATCCTCATTCACGAAGCGTCTCCTGCCGAGATATTGCTTCAGCTGCTGAAACAGGTGAAAGCGCTTGGTACAAGGTCAGGGAAGTAAAGTGGATGTCCGAAAACATCCCATCGAAACTTCTTAAGCAGCTTTTGAGTCTGGTGAGCGGAATGTGGACGAGCGTTGTCGTGAACAGAAACACTGTTTTCTTTTTTTAATTTTCCCCTCCTTTTGTTCTGATTCGCCCTTCTGAGTCGGTTTAACACCTCACAATAGTGTGCAGATGTTATCGTGGTGTTATGGGGCAGGTAGTCAATAAACAAAACCCCCTTGAAATCCCAAAAGACTGTTGCCATAACCTTTCCAGCGGATGCCACAACTTTCGCCTTTTTTGGAGCTGGCTCATTCTTGTCTTTCCACACTTTACTGTAAGTTTTAGATTCGGGTGTATAGTGATGGATCCATGTCTCATCCCCAGTCACTATTCGGTCGAAGAAACCGTCTCCCTCATCGTCGAAAAATTGCTGAAACTGCAATGCAGCGTCAACTCTCTGCTCGTCGTGTAGGCGTGGAACCCATCTTGCACACACTTTTGATAGACCCAAGTCGTCAGCAATGATCCTGTGAAGTGTTGCACGGCTTATCTCAATATTCGGAGGCAGTTCATAAAGAATTTCATCAAGCGTAAGGCGCCAATCGGAATCCAAGATTCTTCGAGCATGCTCGGCAACACTCCGAGTGCGTGAATTCGAGGGCCGGCTGCTTCGTTGTTCATCGTGCAATGTTTTTCTCCCATCAATGAATAATTGGCGGCAACGAGCAACCATTGAACTTGACATAACATCTTCACCGTACACACTACACAACTCGCGATGAATTTCAGTAGCATTTTTGTTTTTTCCGGTTAAAAAGCGAATAACACCACGAACTTCACAATCAGCGATAGGAGCGAGTGGAGTCTCCATGGCGACTGGGGCGTGACGGACTTAGCAATGAATGCACGAGCATAGGGATTTTACAGGGCTTGCACTACACACAGGTAAATATTCCCTCCAAGTGTCAATCGTTTCTCGCTAACCACACGGGTTTAAGAAAATAGTGGAACTTACTTTTGGGACACCCCTCGGAGAAGCCGAAATACTGAGATTTCGGTCTCATCTGTAAGCGCAGGTACAAAAAGGTCTTATTCTATCTGGTTACCCGGAGCTAGGCATGGAATTCGTAAGTTCAATTAATGTCTAATCGGAATGAGAGATGGAATTAAGGTGAAGAATGAAGGTGACAAGATCTTGCGAAAGGACCTGTACATGGCTTAATCAGCGGCCAAGCTCGGTGACGTCCTCCTTATATCGACCAGCCGCATGATTATGCGTGAACACCTCCCGTCCATGACGTGCCCTAGGATTGGAGGCCTCCTAAAAGCCTCGCTACCAATGGATGTCATGATGCCGCCGTACCTTCCTGGGTTGATGCACTTAGATCGCTGGAGTACCGAGCAGCACAACTGTAGCTCGAGGCGCGGATGATCCTGCGAGTTCAATGGTTTCTGTCTCAGACTCGGTATGAACTGGGAGCCGAGAACCAGGGATTCCAAACTCGAGGTCGATGGCAATCGATGATAAGTCTGCAGGACTTCCAGGTTGTGACAGGTAGGCCCGTCTCACCCATATTCGAATTGCGCACCACGGCGTCGATTGCGCTACCGAGCGCCGGCGCGTTCGAATGCCGCCAAGTTAGCTCAAAGAGCCCCGATGACCCGGCGGAGAAGATATCCGCCGGGGACTGTAGTGAGACCCGTTGAGCATAGTGCGTTTTGCCCAATATCCTCTCCATAACGTCGACACTGTCTCGCCGCCCCGGAATCCTGGATCCGAGCACTGCCCCAGGTGAAGCTCTGAGAGACCCGTCTCCGAGTTCGAGCGCCGAGGCCCACCGCCCGGCTCCCCGAAGCCCCACTGTCCGGCAGCGTGCCGAAACACCAGCCCGTCGTCACGTGGTCGGCCTCGATCACGTCGAACTCTCGTGTAGCTTAAAGTAGTTAAGTTAGGATAGATATAGGATAGGATCAATTTTAGTAATAAACATTTAATACTTGTTATCTATATCCCCGTCTCGACTTTTCATTTTAAGGTGTAAGACTTGTGGTGAAAAGGCAAGAGGCGTCGTTGGCCTGTTAGTTGCTGATTTTATTCATGAATTTGAGACGGTATTCCATTCGGTGGAGGTTTCCACGATCTAGACGAGGGCGGTGGTTGCAGGGGCATTCGATGTGCTGCAGTCATCAAGATGCGTTTTGGGCTGAATAATGGTGACTTAGTCTACTTGGGTTGGTGGAGCGATTTTCGTCAAGCGACCTTAGGACTTCCTTTCGACAACCAATTTCTGAATAGCGTGCTAGTTTGCGGAATTCCATGACTACCTTTTCGGGTTACTGATGTGACGGGTGAGCCCGTCACGCCGTTTCAAACCGCGCGCCACGAGTACCGGCAGCGCCTGCGGCGCGGCCGAGCGTCGACGTCCCGATTGTGTCAGGAAATGGCGCCCAACGACTAACCTGCGACCCCTCATACCTTTCCCAATCCCAACCAGAGAGAGAAATAGGAAAGAAATAAACAGATAGGAAAGATAGAATAAAAACATAAGGAAATAGATGAATAGGAAAACATAGGATAACATTACAGGAACTGTTACAGGAACAGAGAAGCACAGAAAAATAGAATAAAAGGGAAGAAAAAGAAAAATATAGAGACATAGGGATTGAAATAGGATTCAACATTAGGGAAACGAAATTATCAAGAAAGGAAACGAAAATAAAAATAAAGATTTTAAATATAACAAACAGGAAAACGTTGGGACATATACAGTAAGCGTAAGATCATTACAGATCATCACAGACAGAGACGAGATGAAACGCACGGCACAAACAGTACAGGACAACACAAGATCACAGCAAGACAACAGCACGGTAAAGGCGGAGACAGCAATAATGATCGACCAAACCGAACACCAATTTACAGAACAAAATACCCTCATGAACAACGTGACCATACATAATCGCAGAACACAATCACACCAACGAAATACAGCGCGAAATAGACGATTTACAAAGAAAGATACAACTACTTCAGGAAACCCTACGAAAATACACCACAGACTTACATAATTTACAAATAAGACAACATAGACGACGAACCCTCATTCCATCACAACTCGAACCACACCGACTACAAGAAACAGGAAACACCACGAGAACACTGAACATGACACCCACTCACGACACACAACATACACACACATATACTCAAACAGCACCATTACCAAAATATAACACTTACATACCACATAACACATTACCAAGACCAAACCAGCAAACACTTATACGGCACACATACGCACCCTTTTACCCACAAAACTTAAGAACCACAGACACACCACACACACTCCACATTAACAATCGAATAACACAACAACCCCCACATGAAACACAATGGACACACTCTTATAACAACTCACAAACATATACACCCCCATTCCAACCGTACAATAAACCACCGGTCCATATAATTAATACATGGAAAATTTCATATTCGGGACAGACACATGAGAATCTACACACTTTCCTCGATACAATACGAGAACTACAACACAGTTACCTATTAACAGATAACCAACTATTAGACAACATATTCATATTACTTAAAGACAACGCGAAACAATGGTATGACATACACCGACAACAATAGAACTCATTTTACGACTTTGAACAACACATACGAAACACATTTCAGGGACCAGATTACATGAACATTTTAGAACAAAAAATATGAACATATACGCAAAACCCAAACCAACCGATCACAGACTACTTACTACAACTACAAACATTAGCACAGCAATTAAAACCCTCTCTAACACAAGACAAACTTTTATACATAGCATATGATAACCTACGACTCGAATACCAAAGAGGCATACATAGGAAAGTCATTAACAACATAACAGAACTGCAGAACCTAGGAAAGAAATGAGAATATACCAAATTTAAAGCCAAACAAAACGAATACACAACATACCCAACATATGAAACTCAGAGAGAGAAAACACAGTACCGTACGTTCACTAACACAAATACATACACATATACCTACCACGCCTCACATACCAAACCTCGGGACAAAACACCAAGTTACACACACTAACATCACCTCTTCAGCATACCAGCCACAAACACACAATAGACCACCATTACTACCTATGCCACGACCACCAATCGTCACATTCCCGACAGAAACAAACTACGACCGACCGACATGTCACTACTGTAAATCACCACAACATTTTATAAAACACTGCACAAATGGACAACCACGACATAAATAGAACCAGGGAAACGACAGGTGAGGAGGACAGTGAGGGCTGCAGCACCTCCCCTAATAGAAGTCCGACACACAGAACAGAATGCACACGTACACACACATACAGAAAAGATGAACAGATGGTTTATGCCGATCAAAATCACAGACTGCATCATAAACGCACTAGTCGACATAGAAGCAACACATACATACATGAATCGAACAATTGGAGAACACCTCAAAGATCTAGAATTGCCCACAGCCACACCCTCAAACAACCAAATCACCGTCGCTAACGGACACGTGACAACAATTGAAACAATTATATTAAAACCAATTACAATAGGCAACCAAGCATACATTACGAACGCCAGACTAGTACCAGACCTCACATATAACTGCATCCTAAGAATGGAGATCTTAATGGACATACGAATGAAGATCGACTTTAACATCAAAACATGGACTCTATCCGACGAACCACACATCCAGTATCTCATTGAAATAGACCCAACGTCATTACCACAACCACAGACATATCTAAAAACCCAGGAAACGTCACACACCCCTCATGAAGAGAAGACTGATAAGCAAAATGAGGACTATCCGAGATCTTGAACAAATGGTGAAGCAACTTATACGTGATCTCTACTTAAGTGAAGATGATCAAATTTCTCAGAAAGCCATAGATCTCATCCTAGAAAACTTCACCATACCAAAAGGTGAACCCAAGAAAAAGATACAGTACCGGATAGCAAGATTCAAAGAAACTCCAGGCTATATCAACATGGAGACGCAAACCCTCCCCAATCTTCTGTGTTTAATGGGATCTAGTCCTCGCTACATGGATCTTAAGAATCCGATGAGTATGTTCTCAAATATGAAATACAAAAATTTCTTTGAATTGTATGTGGAGATCTCATTAAGTAACCTCACAGTCAGTGTAACTGAGAATACAGACACTATCAAGAACCTGGCCGAAGAAAAGAAAGAATATTCTGTCGTCAAAAGATTCCTCTCAAAATACAGCGAGGAGGAAGAACTAGGAGTCCCTCCGAGAAAACAAAAGAGAGACAACTCAGATCCCCCAAAAGGTAGTGAATTGGAATGTCCTCCTAACAAAAATCCCTTCCCATTCTTAGAAACAAAGGCTCCAGCTCGTCTGTTCTGTGTTGTACTGAACATACCTTTTCTCAGATCAGTATTGATGGCTGAGTGCGTTCACCAAGATGCTAAGTATGTCAACAATTTGCCACCAGATCAAGCATGGGCTTATTCTGACTCTAAGTATGTCATTCCCGCAATAGACGATCGCAGATCAAAGTACTCTGGATCACTTTTATCTAAGAAAGATAAATTGATTGTTAATGAGATATCAAAAAATGTACTTTCAGAATTAAAAGAAGGAACTGAACAACAATCTCAATTGGAATTATTACCACAGATGAGCGAGAAGAAGCCGGTAAGACAAGACTTTCGTGAGAGAACCGAGCAGAAGGAATAGAGACAAAAATCGAAGAGAGTGTGCCTCCCAGAACTCCAGACCCTGACTACAGCCAGCGGGCCGACGTCCTACCAAGTCCGCCGACCGATCGATCGACTCGACCATGAGGGCCCACCATTACGGTCGACACGACTTGTCCAGGGACGCCGCGCCGCCGCTGACCCGCCGCCACGAGGCGCCAACCGTCCCGCCATTTCGGCCCACCGGCACTCGCACATCGACCGGACAAGTAGTAAGTAGAAATTAAGAGTAGAAAGTAAGAATATAAGTTAAGAATATAGGTTAAAGTTACTGTAGATTTAATAAATTATAACTCGCGATTATTACCCTGTGCTCTCTTGCTCTCCCCCCTATCCCCTCACCCCGTTCCCGTTATACCATGTACGGTCGCGTTGTTCATGTGGGTATTTTGTTCTGTAAATTGGTCCTCGATTTGGTCGATCGTTATTGCTGTCTCCGACTGTACCATGCTGTTGTCTTGTTGTGACCTTGTGTCGTCCTGTACTGTTTGTCCCGTGCGTTCCATCTCGTGTCTGTCCGTTGTCGACGTTCTTATTTCGTGTAATATTCCGTTCGTATCTAATGTGGACTCACGTTTTATTGTCTACATCCCTATGTTTTCCTGATTATATTTCTACTACCTTCTATAAGTACCAAATATTTTATTAACGTAATTCCAGCACCAGTTGGCGGCACCGGGGGTTATCGTGGGCAATCACTAGCAGTAAGTAAGCAAGTAAGTTGTAAATAGGCGTCGAGGGTAAGAATTAATAGGGTTAAGTGTACTATCGGGAGAGCATTTCGAGTCCTTACCACCGTCGGTACGCGTCGAGGAGGAAGAATCGAGATAGCAATTATCGCGCCGCGATACCTATCGGGACATCTGATATGCGCTATCAATTGATGGTGTTCTTCAACATATATGAAAATCAATAAGATCGGGGGCGGACACTTGGGAATGTTTCCTTGTGAGACAGATGGCTGAAATCTACCACGTCACAGTATGGTTACGCGACTTGTAGAACATTCTCCGGAGCGGAATCATTGGTTTTCAGACCAATGAATCCTTACGTTAGGTTATGCACAGTTCTGATTGCTTTTCCAATCTCGACAAGTTTGGTGATTCAACTGATGAGCTGAGTGTGACCCTGGCTTTAGCAAAACTTGTAAATAATCGTGTGCCCCAAAAAAATGATTTAATGAGTAGTCCTGCAAAATCCCGGTATCCAATATTGCGAGCTGACCATATCGACCCGATCTTTGCGACGTGTCCAAATAGGACCCTTCTTTTCTGACATCGCCATGAGGTCGGATGGAGCAGTTGTTCATAAATTTCATTTTTGTATCATGTATTAATTTACTGTGCCTCGGTTTTAGAGAAAAACCACATTACAAACTTCAGAACTTATTTAAATCCGACAAATACGATAAGATTATGTGTAAACATAATATCAATCTGATGAATAGAACGAGTCAATATTTTCATTTATAAAATTATTTGATAGGGTATTGCATTTTTTACAATACATTAGTTGGAGGAATAATAAAATAAACATGGACAAACGATAAGCTTTTCCATTCAGATGCCATAAATATTAAAACATTTATATTGTCTTTATTACGTTAAATTGTGTGTATCTAACCTGTTATGTTTGAAGAATTTATCCCAACTCTCCAACATGCAGAACCGTTTTTACCAATTGCCCAAACTCGACCGTTAATCCCACAAGAAATACCGATCAAGGGTTGATCACTGGGTATATGTTCCCACAAAATACCCTAGAAAAATAACGATCGAATATATTTTAGATATACTGTGTAAAGGGAACTTAATTGCAATACTATACCATTGGGCAGAACTGAGATACTCCTCGTCTATACAGTGCCTCTCCGTTAGTTGCGACAGCCCAGACGTGTATTGGAGAATCTGGGTCAGCACTCTCGGAAGTCTATTTTAAATTTAATTCGTTATCAAATTAAACTTTATTTCCTTACTGTACATATGATAACGGTATATATACTCACATATAATGATAGGTCAATGACCTTAGTGTTTCCCAATTCTTGCCACGGACCACTTGTTGTTAATTGACATTTTCGATACCATCGGCGTCTTCTCACGTAGTCTGTAAATTGTTTTCGTCCGTGATATTGCGATGGAAAGTCTGTAGCATACTGCCATCCATCACGATCTACACCACCTGGAGTATGGAAATCGATGAGCCAGTCCGATACCTAACGTTAAATGTATGACAATTTAGAAGGGATTAAATCATTAAATTCGTTTTTTCCGACAAATATAAAATTATTTAGCCATTTCCCAACAGTGTACAAGTAAAAAAAACTTCACGGTAACTACTACAATGGTAACTTTATGGGGCGTTAGTTTCTGTGTAAAAAAGAAAATATTTCTTGTAACGAACAAAATAATATACAATGTCATGGATGATGAGAAGGATGGAAAGGAATATGATTAGTTTGAAAAAATATCAGCATACGCACCCAATGCCAGTGCATCGATAATAACTTGGTGTGTTCTCTAGTACGTTTGTGTCGTCCAGTGATGTCACTCCACATGTATCGATCTGTAGGTAGTCCATGTGATGTATAACCAGTCACTGGATTCCAGCGCTGATTTTCATACACGAAATAATTGTAAAAATCAATCATCGAATTAATTCCGGTATTGTCACCTCCTAATCCTGAAATGAATGTTAGAATTCAATTTTTTTTTTTATTCTTATACGCTACTGTTTATGTAATTATGGTATTACCTTTTAAAAAGGAGCCACCCCAACTATTGGTATAAACCCAGGCAGTATTGTCATTTCCAATGCCCCAAGTCACTCCGTTAATACAGGTCTCAACCTTTTTTAGATGTCCGCCCATCTGGCGCCAAAACATTGCCATTGGCTCAATAATCATCTACATACAAATTAAATGTTACAATTTGTAAGAAATTATACAATTAAATTTACGGAAATATACTAAGAGGTACGGTTTCGAATAGGATCAGGAAACTCGGCAGAGTTTCGAGCCAAATACATTTTTGAGCGAGAAACTCATAGCGTAGAGTGATGCGAGAAACGCGCCCTGCGCGTTGAATTCGAGCGAGACGCTGCAGAGTTCTATACAGTAAGGATTGAGATTTCAGGAGTGGGGGAAATGGAAATATAATTTCTCCATTGCTAGAGATAAAGAAACAAACTTTCGTTCAATTAAAAAAATCCAGCAAAAAATCAGGACTTTTTCTACATTTACCCGACTCTGATTGCTGCTATCTACGTAAAGATATGGCACGGTAAGTTTTCGGCATTCTCAGAAACGTTCTCATATCGTCATCTTCGTCCCTCCAGTCACGGGCTACTATTAACCACTCACATGCTAGGTAAATCTTCGTACGACTTTTCGCACGACAATCGATGGCGCCCTTCGCGAAATGAAAATGAACTTCGGCACTCAGCGCCGTAACGATCGACGATCACACCGAGTACGATGCGTCAACGCGTCGAGGATGAAAAACCAATCAGAATTGCGCTTAACCTCGTGGTCATTTCCGTTGCAGTTCTAATTGGTTTTCATCCTCGACGTGTTGAAACGCCGCATCTTGACTTCGGGTGCATTCAGAGGAGACAACTGCTGAGTGATCGGTTAGCACTCGTCTGCTGAATGGGTACGTTCACTCAACATGTTTACTGATCAGACCAATCAGATCGCATTTTTAGCAGAAATCGCAACGTGTTCCCAACTCATCGGTAGCAATTCGACGATGTCGTCAACGCGTGTTGAACCATAATGCGGAGTAACTCCAGTCAAGGACGCGATCAACTACGAGACATCGTCATCGGGACCGAGGAACTCAAGAAACACAATATATGCGAACATCCGTTTTTCGTCGAAACTGTGTTCGAGGAGCTCTGTACCCTTATGTAAATATTTGTCATTTGGTTGGAACAAAAAAAATATCAATTTAATTATTATTATGATGATTTCCATCGTTTCATATCACCTTAGTAAACCTATCCTGGACGTGGCGCATTATAGGTCAGCATACTCGAGATCAACTGCTGTAGCGTAAGACGCGAGGCATTTAATTCAAATCATCGGGCGAGTCGGCCATCGGCCCTTAAATCACCTCCGGCTCTTTCATTTCATTCAGGGATAAGACGCTTGCGTACGTATGACCCCCCTACTTTGTAATGGCCGTTCTCACTATGGTGGAATTTCATACAGGTGATAAGACACTCGCGTACGCATACCTCTCCTACTTCGTAATGGCCGTCCTTCCTATGGGCAATACGCGTGCCTTTTTGTAATGGCCACTCTCGCTGTCAGCGACACGTGTGCCGGTGGGGCCCTATACATCCCTCTTTCTCGCCAAATAACCTCCTCACTACTCGCTACTCTCTACTCGCGCTCTAGCGTATCCCCACCACTCTCGACGATATGGGAGATGACTGCAGTGGGGTATGTGACGTGGCGTGACGTCACAGACCATCTCGGTGCCAGTGACGTCATTTGTATAGTCTACACGTAGTGGCTCCAATACTACTTATCTGATTTTACTCTGGTCATTTATTCCCGTACCCTAATCCGACCAACTTTTCCGATTCCGTGCTCCTGACGTGAACCCCCCGACTCTGCCATTCGGAGCTTTTTCGCAATTTCTCATAGCCGAGTTGGACTTTCTTAGCTGAGGTTTCCGAAGGGCTCGCGGCATATTGCAGCATGTTTGGCGTCCTTAAATAAATTCAGGCGGGTTGCTCTGGTCACCAATCCGAATTCCACCGTTTCAGTTGAGATTAGGGTTTTCGCGAGGAGGCCACACGGGGTATCAATTTCCAGGGCGTGGGAACGAGTGGACCCAGATATATGTTGCAATATTTACTGAACGTAAATAAATAAATAAATAAATCTGATCAATGCTTACTCAGAGAGCATGTATTACTTTATTACGTATTTACGCGTTGCCCATACGGAGCTGCGCTCTTGAGCTAAATAAAAATGTCTCTTTCTTCCTCTGCCCCTCTCGCCCGCCCATTTTCCCGCTTTCCTGCTCTCTTCCTTCGCTCTCTCTACTCCTTATATTTGAGTCATTTTTGTTGAAATTTTAGATAGGTTATTTTTTATATTACAATTCTAATATTACGATTTCGAACCCTTACGAACAAGTAAATTAAACCTATCAAGATGAATAATATTCATATAAGAATTCTTCAATAAGTGAAAATGAATGTAAGTAAACCGATTAATAAGTAAATACAAGAATAGACGTACATATGTAGATTTATACACCACTCTGCTCAGCGTCATGAAGCCTTTAATTCGTAAATGCGTGATACTTTCTGGTGTAAGGCGATGACCGTAACAAGTAAATTCGTTGTTGTTTATGAATATCCTGTATCCTCGGTCCTCACAGTTGATACTCAAGGTAAAACTCAAGCCTGCCTTTATAGGGCTTTCATCGAATCTTTCTTCAGCTCCCCATTGTCCATTGTGGAATGTATTTCTCACAATTATATTTTCCTTCAATCGCGGATTGAAGTGAAGTGCCACATCATGATTTTCCGTTACATTTTTTTGTTTCTGAGGCACAGTTGTGTAACAAACTAGATTCACTGTTAACCTAATAGAAATGTTACGATTAGTTTGCAACGGAAATATGAATAAATAAATTTCAAAAGAAGAAAGGCAAACTGAATTAATGACTATTAATGTCAGCCAAACTATAAGCCATTAGTAGCCCTACAATGTTACAATTATTATGATATTGTTTCAATAGGGTCTTATTGTTAGATGTTATTGCCACCATTATTAAAAGTTATTCATTGACCATGAAATATGTTTTAATTTTATTGGCACAGAATCCAAGCAGTGCCCATGCAATCAACTTACATATATTACACATTATATTTGTCGCATTTTGCTGTTTGCAGCTTGGAGACAAGATAACAAAGGGTGTGCTAAGTAATACGCGATCAACTACTCGACAGGCCTCATAGGCGACTTTATAATTAATTAATATAGGTAAATTCTGCACAGTAGAAAACAATACTCTTGGGTTTTTCAGCATTACCTTTAACAAGGATAGCAATGTATAAATCGTGGGCGGGAATTCTGTCTCGCTGCATCGGATAGTTTATTTAAATCCAAACACGTAGCATGATGTGAAAGGTGCTGAAAAATTTAATCGACGTCGGCAGAAAAAACTCTTGTAACTGACGCATCATCTGAAACAATCTTTGATTTCCACCCTTTTCAACGGTAACGCCATGTTCAATACTTGAGTGGTATCCTAAGCTGACTCACCACATTGCTGACATTTATATTTATGTTCACGTTTCTTACACTCTACATTGAGAATGATTCGAAATAAAGAACTCCATGTGTCATTTTAATAGAATGATTATAAACAGATTGAAGTAAAACTAAAAAAATCATTTGAATGTATGATTTTTGATACGCTAATTTAGTGTTAGGGTACGCTAACAAGGAAGGTACCTGAGGTGTCCCCTTTCGATTTTGTTCATTTTTAAATATGTTATAGAGGACTAAAATCTAAGGGACCAGTGTTTTTTTTTATCGGCGGATAAACACTTTTAGGAGGTGAAATCAGGCTTCAAAGTTGGCCGTGCAAGGGGGTGAGTTGGTTGTTTCATATAGAGGCACTCGACCGATTTTCATGAAACAACCGTCAAAATGTAGGGAATGAAGAATTATGAAACATGCTTTTGGAATTTTTTGAAAAAATTCATTTTTAAGGGGTGAGCCACCCCTTTGAATACTTCTTTTACCGCTTATGCGAGCAGTAACTACTCCATCCAAATGAAACTTGGTTAATTTATAGACCAGAACAATACAAAAAAAGCATATTTTGTTTTTTTTAAAAACAAATTTTAAGGTTTGTAACAATCCTTTAATAAAATGATGTATAATCTCGTTTTAAAACCAGCTTTGTACGACTTTCTTGGACTTAAATGACTTTAACGATTAAAATGAATAAAAGAATACGATCAGGTACCATCCGATACATTCGAAGGGTAAATTACCCCTTGGGTTCAAAGGAATGTGATTCGTATGATATAAGACAATGGAGTTAGCTCTCCTCGTAACTAGTGCGTAGCCGAGTGGTAACGCCGCGCGAGCGAGCAGTATGCAGTGCCAGGTTTTCAACCACTATCTGTACGTAATATATTATTTTGTCATCTTTAAGAACGATTGTTATCAAACATTACTGCGAAGGAAAAATAGAAAGTGAATCACATGTCTGGACGAACCGCGTGGACGGATTACATTGTTTTATATTTAGATTGTATTAATGGAAAAACTGAACGTAACCGTGTTTGTATTTTACATTGCAACTGTAGTTCTACGATACCTCGGCGTCTCCGGTTACACGCAAAAATTAATTGCCGCTAAATGCGACAGAACCTAGCGGTCGATTAGTGTGTCATAATAAGATTGTGACGTCGTTGATAATGAGTCTAAAAAATCGTGAATCCTGGAGACTTGGTCACTCTTATTTCGATCTTTTTGTAATCATTCTGTTGAAATGACATATGGATTATATGGATCAATTCCCGCTCTCTACTTCTTTTGATCCCGCTCAAAAGATTGTCCATGCCTAGGTTATGCCATTTCAAATAATACTCGATGTAACGTGCAATAGAAGCCAATGTAATTATGGACGCCAGTAACGTGGCGCACCGTTCTTTGTTACTATTTGTGCCCATAATTATGAAAGTGGTCTAAGTCAAAATTAAAAAAAAAAAAATGAGTTTATCAGTTATTTCACGCCATATTATTTCAAACGAAATTAATTCAATGTAATTTCGAAACAAAAAATATATGACTTAGACCACTTTCATAATTATGGGCACATTTGAGTATCCAAACAATGTTACCGTCGAAAAGGGTAGCGACTAGAGATTGTTTTGTATGGTTCATTAGTTAGACAATTTTTGTTTACTGTCGTCGATCAAGTTTCTTAGCGTCATTCATATCACCTTAAAATAATTCAATGTATTGATGACCGCACACACATGCTAGGGATATATTCAAATTCTGCTACTTCAGAATTTCAAACATTTTTTATAGTGACTGCTAACAGGCAACAAATAAGTCAGTCAGCTGATAATGTCTTTTTATATCGATGTTCGTTGAATAAAAAATACTCATTCTATAATATTTCTGAAAACTGTGTAAGATAGTACTATTTGTGAAATCAGTTAAAATGAAATTCACCCGAGTTTGATTAAAACATGATTAGTTACCAAGACCGTAATTTCAGATCATCAAATATTAATCGGCATACTAACCTGTCAGCATCATCATGTACATTCGCAGATATTTGAATAGAGCTTCCTGGGCCAAATCCGTTTTGCAAAATACATTCAAAAGGTAATTCTTTACCAACTACATCCAAGTTTTGGGTATACATTCCATCATTAACTTCAACCGCCTGAAAGTTTATTACGAAAGAATGAAATGGCATTATAATTCATTTTTGATATGTAAACCTAAACATACTTCATCTGCTATGGTATTATTAACAACTTACATCGGCATTATCAGTATCAAAGACGAAAACATCCCCAAGTGCAGTTGTTCCCCATATCGAACTGGGTCCAGGCTTCCCAAGTAGATTATTTAATTGGCAAGATACTGTAAAAATACTTGCTTTGAAGTAAATAGCGGATAATACATTAACATATTCGCGACCACATATTTGCAATGCTGCGATTTTACTCAAGAGCCCAGGACCATTTATTTGTGATAGTTTCAAATGCTCTAAGAAAAGCTTGGGCTGTGGTGACGGTTTGCCTATCAGACCGTGGTAGCGAACGTGATAATAGCGAATATCAAGAAACTCGTAGCGGTGAGTGATGCGAAAAACGCGCCCTGCGCGTTGAGTTCCAATGAGACGTTACAAAGTTCTATGCAGTACGGATCGAGATTTCAGGAGTGGGGGAAATGGAAATATAATTTCTTCATTGCTACGGATAAAGAAATTCATTTTCAACCAACACAAAAAATTACTTTCGGCGGATCCGGCTCGATGAAATGCGGGTTACTTTTATAATTTGTAATCCAACGTCACCTGTTACCAAAGTAATCCGTTACTGGCCAACTCTGAACAGCTGTCAATATAATTACAAACGTCGGTAACGTAGATATTAGGAAGAATTTTTTTTTTACTGAAGTCAGTTAAATTTCTCGATGGGTTTCACACCTTGAAATTGTCAGGGTGACATGACAAGTGCTGAGAAGTTTAATTGATGTCAATAAAATAAAATTTATTTACATCTTTCTTGGTGATAACGTTATTGTGGATACCGAAGTGGTAACACAAGCTGGCGCGTCGCGTTATCGACATTTATATTTATGTCGAGGTCTGTTACACTCTACATTGAGAATTATACGAAATGAAGTGTTCCATATGTCATTTTAGTAGAATAATAATAAAGCGATCGACGTAAAACTGTCAAAATTCCATGGATTCATGATTTTCGATACTCTAATGGATCAACGGTGCCATCTGTGACATTTAGCTGTAACCAAATTTTTGCTCTAAAAACACGTGGTACCCACGGGACACGGCGGCATTCTCTTGCAATCGTTCGTGAAAATATTTTCGATATTTTCCCATCTGACTCTGTAATATTCCATTTCTATAGTATTCTAAATGTTTTGAGCCAGATCCCGAAATTCTTTATTTTCGATTCAAAGCTATAAAAAAGCGTAAAACATCACAAACGTACACGGACGACAATATGTTGGTGCTAGTCCGTGATAATTACAGAAATTATTTTGTAAAAATAAAATTTCATGTGATTTCGGAATCTACTTTAGGGCCTCCATATTCACGCGATAAAATTTGGAGCGAATCGGTGCACCCAATTCGGAGATAACTTTTACGAACGATTTGACCTCTCGAATAGATGCAGACTGACCTTTTCATATTACCTTAAGGGCGCTCACCACTCTAGCGATTTTGCAGGGCCTCACGGGGACAACGATTCCGTACGTATTTCTAAACCGATCGAGCTTAACGAGTGCTCATATCGAAGATGAAACATTGATCCGTGTTTATATAGGAGCGATTTTCGATAAGTGGTCATTTTCATATAAAAAAGTGCAACGACATAATTTCAATGCCCTTTTACCGAAAATCGCTCCCATATAAACACACGTCAACATTTTATCTTTAAAACGAGCACCCATTGAGCTCGATCGGTTGAGAAATACGCTCAAAATCGTTGTCCCCGTGGAGCACCTTTTTCAGGATTTTCGAGTTTCTCGCGAGGAATTTTGGCATTCCTTGGCAACCGTTGCCGACTCTAGGCGGAGCGTGCAACTGGCGTGTGCGGGCGGCCGGGAGTCACCCACGTTTCGGCGCCCAGTCCAGAGGCGTCTAGCCGTTCTGTGAGTCCTATACGTGCAAAATACGCACACATTTTTCGCCCGTTGCTAAACACCGCCCATTGTACGTCGCGTCTCCTTCATCCGAGCGAGAAAGTACGTTTTAGTTACCTCCCACCGAATTCGATGCTAATGCCATCTAGCGGTGGAAGTCATCGTCCCCACTTTGGTGGTGAACGCCGTTAACCGTTTGTATCCCAGGGGTTGTTGAAAAAACATTGGTAAAAAATGTCGAACAGCGCAATGGCGCTGCTTAGTTGAGTGCCAATAGAGTCAAGCGGCGCGATAACGCTTGCTATTTCAATAGCTCAAAGAGCACCGTCAGATATCCATATCGTTCAAATGTATTGGTTTTTTTCGACATGAAATCTAAACAGCGCGATCGCGCTGCTCGGGACCCAAAGGGTTAAAGACTACAGGGAATGCAATAGTCGAGTTACCACGTCAAAGTGAATACATAAAAACGTATAAAGATACAAATCAGCTGATATTTTTTACCGTACAAGTTGTTTGTAGTATTACGAAAAATAATTTGCATATACCTGCAGTGAGATTAGCCATCCAATCTTCCATATCTCCAGTGCTCGCAAATTGAAGCCTAAGAACTTTTGAAATTCGTAGTCGAGGTGTGTGAATTGCCAGTTGTGGAAGACCAGGTTCGCTACAGCATACCACACATAAGATTTCAGAAAGCGGAAACTGCGTCTAGAAATAGAACAAATGAAATAAGTATGATAGAATGAAAAAACAATTAAGGCATCTTGTACACAAACCGGCAAACGTCGGCTCCGACGCTGGTTTTCTGTCCGTAATAATATAAATAAATGAGTGTTACATTTTTTTCTTGCAAAACAGTCGATTACAGCGCCAGTTTTGCCGGTGCGTGTGCAAGCAGTCTAATGCTTGAAACTCTATTGTGTACTTACAATGATTGTTGCCCCATCTGCATTTAAAACAGTTAACGTTCCCGAGTCTAATGAACTAGCATCATCGTTGATCCATTCTAATTCAACTATGCAATCTTCATATGTAGAACTACCTTTAAGTTTACAGCGGGCATCACTTTTTTTAATCCATGACGATCTAATGGAAAATTAAAAATTGTAAATTGCATTAACTTCGAAACATAGGTACCAAGTTTTAAAATTAATACTAGTGGGTCAGATCCTGTTACATTAACCGTTTGAGTCCCAGGGGGTATTGAAAAAACCCTGTCAAAGAATCCCAAACAGCACAATCGCGCTTTCTCTAAATGAGTACGAAAGGCCCAAGCAGCGCGATAGCGCTAATTTTATTTTATGTCGATAAATCCCAAGCGGCGCGATAGCGCTTCGTTTATTTTATGTCGATGAATCCTAATCGGCGCGATAGCGTTTCTTGAATTGTAAGATGTATTATTTACATTAAAAGAAGGAGATGTACTTGGGTCAGTAAATCTGAGCGCGCGACTTCGACAATCGGTGACGCACCGCTAGTTGTCCACAACGCTCGAAATGTGTTGGGTTTTCTCGACATAAAATCTGAACAGCGCAATCGCGCTGCTTGGGACTCAAACGGTTAATGGTACTATGCGGTCTCACAAACCGCAGTATGGACAAAGGACCCTGCACTGATTGAGTGCTTGGGTTCCAGTGAACTTGGCTGAAACTGACATATATAGTGGATCTGGGATCTAATGCTACCATTCGCTATGTTTTCCTACAACACGTCCATTCATGAGACAACCAATTTCACCCCCCATGAATTAGTTTTCGAAAAAACAGCCCGAATGCGCGCAACCTACTCGTCCAAGCAAGAAATGAAAACCTATAATAACTATTTAGCAGAACTAACCCAACACCTTGAAACTATTCGCAGAATAGCGCGAGCGTATCTCAATATTTCAAAAGAAACCTCCAAAACAATATACGATCGGAAGATAAAGCCGATCGAATTTCAAGTCGGAGACATGGTTTACGTCTTGAAGGAACCTCGAACCCATAAATTTGACCTCCATTACGTAGGCCCCCATGAAATTGTCTTACTCCTGGAATTAAATAATGCCCTCCTAAAAACAAATCGGGGAAAAACGGTCTTAAAACATTAAAATAAATTAAAACCGGCCGTCGAGTGTGAACCAACGAAAATCCCTTCGTCAGTAGAATAGACAACCTTAGGACCTATCGAATGACAACTGCCAGCGACGAAATCGAACGAGACACCGCACGGGAAGTGCACGAAACCCGATTCTCTGGAACGCACGAAACAGCTATCTACCAGCGAACCTCTTCGCGCCACGAAATCATGCAACCAGCCGCACAGCTGAAAACCCTTCCAGTGGCCCTAAGGACTTTCGGACCGCCAAAGGAAGCTGACAAATATTGAATAAAAGTCAAAATATGAGGGACATCCCATGGGAAGACACCCTTGCCTACAGAACACTGCTGCAGCTGAGGTGCGCCACCCCCAGATACAGCACCCTTTGGTACCACCAAGACAAGAAAATACACCGCTGCAACCGGTGCTACTTCAATTAAACCCCGACTCCGGTCTGGCCCGAGTTCACCCTCACCCACCGGCATCGGCTGCAAACCCAAAACCAGCCCCAGGACCGATGCGTCCTCTGCCACAACAACTTACTGCGAACCCAACCGGCTATAGACTGCCGAGGCTGTACAACAGCCTTTCAAAAAACGACGCCAGAAATGCTCTCGAAGCCAGCGAACTAAATCTTGACCCGCGTTGAGAACCCCAACTAAAGGAACACGCTGAAAAAAAAATCTCTCTCTCCCTCCCCCTTCTGCCCTTTCTTATATTTTCCTTTTGTTGCTGTCTGTTTATTATATAATATATCCCCCCTCTCTTCTCTTTTTTTATGAAACACCACATATTTTTCGATTTTTCCTCTTTTCTCTTTTCTTTTCTTTCTTCTCCTTTTTTCTCCTTTTTTCTTCTTTCTTAAAATTAGAAGGGATATGGAACGTGGGACAAGGAACACGAGAACCACAAACCCAATTTTAGGGCCATTAATCATGTATTGTTACAATTTCCTTTTACTTCAAAACTATATTATAGATATATTTTCTTTTCTGCATCCTCCGTACTCACTACTCGTCCCAATTCTCTTCGGGAAGGAATCCCTCGACAGGAAGTGAACCCCCCAGACGTCCTGCTCCTGGAACCACTCGTTAACTTGGCGATGTATGCTGCGGCTGAGCCTCAGCATTAATAACACGTAGCGAGCGGTCCAGCGCATCGCTCCCTGTAACAAAGAGGAAGAATTAATACCACATCGCCAAAATTATAATCATAAGAAAAATCACACATAAGCATAAAACTCACCATATGTACCAGGGTCGGAACTTCCTCCCAGACCCGTCGGCTCACCAGTCAGTATCGCCACCGGCTGGTTCCCAAAGATACCAAGACAGAGTCAGAGTCAGAATTTCCACCAGCCATTCTGTGTTAAATCGGTGATACCTCTCGCAGGACATAGAATCGAATGAACCGGCAGTGGCAACGGCTTGGCCGCGCGCGGAAATCACCCACTCGGCAGATCCCCATCTCGCTCCAAATGCAGAATCGCGGAAACTAACACCTACCATCACTCAGCTCAATCCATCTACTTACCTTCACACATTACAAATAAGTGTATTTCCAGACGGACACGCACACTCCCAACACAGCCAAAGGAGCACTGGCACGAACACAGAATGCACACTTGAGCACACCTCCTCACCCTAGCTCACCTGGCCACGGGGTTCTTCGAGGACACCGGATGCAAAACAACCCCCATCAGAAAATCTCCAAGAGTTTACTTTGAGAAAACCCGGGAAATCCGGACATTTCACGTTCGGTGGCGACCGGTCACCGCGATTGAAATTGATGCCTTGCTCGTAAAAAGGCTGGAAATAGCTTCCCATATCAAGGATGCCGGGGACCAGTGCCGAAAAGCCAATGTCAGCTGAATCCATCTACTTACCTTCACATATTACAAATAAGTGTATTTCCAGACGGACACGCACACTCCCAACATAGCCAAAGGAGCACTAGCACGAACACAGAATGCACACTTGAGCACTCCTCTTCACCCTAGCTCACCTGGCCACGGGGTTCTCCGAGGACACCGGATGCAAAACAACCCCCATCAGAAAATCTCCAAGAGTTTACTTTGAGAAAACCCGGGAAATCCGGACATTTCACGTCCGGGGGCGACTGGTCACCGCGATTGAAATTGACGCCTTGCTCGTAAAAAGGCTGGAAATAGCTTCCCATATCAAGGAAGCCGGGGACCAGTGCCGAAAAGCCAATGTCACCTTCTGTGAGGCCAGCGAATGTACTCTGGGTATCAATGGACTTATGAGCGAAACGGATAAATACGTACATTTGCTTAAAAACTTGATCCCGGAAATATCAACCCGGAACAGACTCTCTAAACGCGGAGCTCAGCTATCCTTCGTTGGAACCATCAGTAAAGCCTTATTCGGCACCCTCAGTTCCGAGGACGCCGAATATTATAATCAACAATTAAGTCAGCTAGAGATGGACCAAACCCACATCTCGCAGATTGTAGGGAACCAAACGCATATAGCAAAATCGGAATTTCAAAACATTTACCAACGATTAGATAATCTAACCCAGGAAATTACCAGATGTTTGCAAGTTGCAAAAGGGATAGCGAAAGAACTAAACCAGAAGAGCCTCGAGAAACATCAAGAGGCGTATAGAACAGCCATTTGGCGCTGGATAACCGCCTTGGGAAGTCTGGCCTAGGAATAACGTTACGGAAACTTGTTAATAACGGATGCTGTCCTTTTCGCGCGACAAGGAATACTGCATCCCGCAATCCTATCTCCCGAGCAATTGAAAAAATCTGTCGCCCTGATATAGGAAACCTCACCCCTAGAATTTCCCCTATCAACCCAGGAACTTCTAACAGGCTCTCTCAACCATACCGTCGAAGTGCAAACCCAATAGTAAGAAAATCGATTAATCCTCATCCTAACCTTCCCCCTCCTCGACAAGGAACCGTTTCAGTTCTATAAAGCATACCCGATTCCGACGCAACAACCCTATGGTACAATGGCGGACATGAATGCCTTCCCTGCAGATACGGCATCGCCTGTGCAGGATGGGAGGGCATTGATGTCTCCCAGTGTACAATGGCGGACATAAATGCCTCCCCTGCAGATACGGCATCGCCTGTGCAGGATGGGAGGGCATTGATGTCTCCCAGTGTACAACGAAACCAATAGCCGCTCACGTCCTACCAAGGACACCTTACCTAGCGGCATCCGAGGAGCAAACATACTATTTCAGCCCGGAAGAACAGTTCATTCAAAAATGCCTTTCCCACCGTCACCACCTCCTGTGCGAACTCACCATTCCCACAGATTCATCGACAATATAATTATATGAGAAATGAGAAAAAACTTTATGTAAACATGTCTACATACATTATTTTATGCGCATATTCTTTATTGTCAAAATGAATCTTTATTATTTAACACTAAACGTACCACCGCCGGGTCAAATAACCATTTTTCAATGGTATTCGTAATGGGATTATAAATTGTCAGTAGGTTTAGTGTTAAATTCCAAATAAAATACCTGGAAGCTTTGAAAATGGATATATTCGAAACTTTCCTTCCATAACCATCTATACCATTCTCCTCCTCTATACCATCATAACCACTATAACATTCTATATTCACTTTTCGACAGCGATATAAGCAAACGTGCCGTCCTTTTTACAGACAGTTCGAAACTGTAACCACCCAGTAAACACAAATCAGTTAAATTTAACGTAAATCCGCGAAATTAGAATAACATCAAGATGATGTGAAAGTGGCATGTGAGGAGTCAATCGTTTATCAAACATCTCTTCTAGATAAGTAAACCGAATCGTTTGAAATTTTACCACGTGAATATGAAGGCTCTAAGGAAGATCTTGACGACCATGAAATTCAATGTTTTATGAAGCATTAATGTTTATAATAATGATACAAAGAATTAAATTTCATGAGCGACAGGACCTTCCTTAGGTCCTTCATATTAACAAGGCAAAATTTCAAATAATTAACTACACCTAGTTCGGAGAAAAGTATCACAAATGAAACCACTCAGATGCCCCATTTACATCACCTTAAAAATCAGTTATTAGAGACAACCTGTATCAGCACTTATCGGCGCTTGGAATCTTGCAAACCGCACTCGGCCATGTACATTGTTATGATACCTGCTCCACTTTATCGGTAACAAGAACAATAGCCTTCGACCACTTTGCAATTCCCATTCAAGAGATTGACTTAGACGCTGGGGTTCTCCTGTTGCTTTTTAGTCTAACATAACCCTAATTACACACGGCAACAAGTTATGTCTCCCACATTTAGGTATTTTCTTCTAACCGCTCAGAAGTATTGTAAAATATCGGGACCACGCTGTTCTCTCAATCGCCACGTACAGGTTATATTTGGCGTAAAAGAATAACTTTCTTCAGAAAACAGGATTCAATTCTTACATTGATGAAAGGGTCATGCATGAAACTTACTTTTCAACAGCTCTTTCGCAGTTCAGAAGATCGTGGCTTAAGTCCTTGACACGATTTTTCAACTCATTTAAAATGAGTATTCTCCATGGTTCTGCCAGTTCTTCTAGTATTGCGTTATTTGTGTCTAATAGCCTAAAAATTAATAACCATGTAATTAGTGGGCTGAAACAAAGGATTTCCACATAAAATAGAAGATTACATTCACAGGCGAATTACCTAGGCTAACATACATTGTGAAAGGTAAAATAAATCCAAGCCTAAAAATTCACAATGCCGATATTGAGCAGACTTAAACATTAAAAATAAAACTGACTGCATGTTATTATCTTACAAAATCCTAACACTTGACAAGTAATATATCTTCGTACGGTCCAATTGCAAGAATTTGCAGTTATATTAATGCGCTTTAAAGAAATAAGAATTCTGCACTTGTAAAGAGGACCTTGCCTAAAGTCGAAAACAAAACATAATAAAAGACTTTTCTTTTCCAATAAAACGCAAACTTGCCAGGGGGTACTCGATACACTTAATGTTTTACATATCTATAAATGAAAATTAATTATACTTAAATGTAATAAGCAGTAATAACATTGTGATGGGTTAGCCCGTCACCTGCGTTTAAATAACGCGCCGTTCAAGCGGCCAGACGTCGACGTTGCCGTGCTGGCGGAACCGAACAGTGCCGAGGAGGCCCGAAGGCGACCGGGAGCCGACTGGGAAGTACTCTTGTAAAAGACGTAAAAACAGGTGTGTGCGTGTGCATGTGCGTGCGCGCGGGCGTGTGTACTTCCGAAGAAAAGGGACCTTTGGAACTTGCCACGGCCAGAAGGTCCCGGAAAACGACATCCGGACCTGCCATTCAAAAAGACGTCCCAGAACACCTCGAGGAACCCCCCCATCGACCTCACAGGAAGTCGGAAAGCCAAGTTGCCGCGACACGGTTCGAGCCGGCTTACCTCGTGCACCGCCACCCCGACGCCAACCTCAACGCGCGCATAGAATAAGATAGACTAAGCCATTGATTACTTAGTGTTACGTCCGCCGTCTCATGTATCTTAGCGAAGACTCGGAAACGCGACTTCCTGTACATCCGCGCATCAGGAGATTCATGTATCTTAGCGAAGACTCGGAATCGCGACTTCCTGTCTATCTGCGCATCAGCAGATTCGGGTTTCCGTCGTTTCGACTGCACTCGATGGGAAAATATTCTCCCCCACTACGATTATTCCGGACCATAGCAACAGCGAGACCTCCGAGACTACGAAATTATAAAAAGACATCGGCACTTCCATTTTCGACTCTGAAGAGAACAGACCTCCGCAATTCAATTTCCGACTCGGCGACCGTCACGAACCCGCGAGTTTCCTTATTGTTAGCTTGAAAACGTAACAGTAAGTTAAGAGTTCGAATAAATTCGTGTAGAGAATTTCATCCGGACCGTCTCTCTCTCTCCCTCCCGCCCCATTGCCGTTTCTCAATAACCCAGTTACAACATAAAACAAGTGGAGGGGTTAAAGTATGCAAATGAAATAGTGAATGATAACTAATACCATATCATATAAGAAAGATATCTGGTGACATAAACCTGGCTTTATAATATTTTTCAGTACCTTTTATATATAGAAACATAAGTCCTGATGTAACGCAAGCATAGTTTACACGTCTTTTTACGATTGTTTTCGGTACCTAAAGTTGGCCTGTCTGACAAGGAAGGTACCTGAGGTGTCTCCCGCCGATTTTGTTCATTTTTAAATATGTTATAGAGGACTAAAATCTAAGGGACCCGTGTTTTCTTTTATCGGCGGATAAACACTTTTAGGGGGTGAAATCAGGCTTCAAAGTTGGCCGTGCAGGGGGGTGAGTTTGCTGTTTCATATAGAAGCACTCGACCGATTTTCATGAAACAACCGTCAAAATGTAGGGAATGAAGAATTATGAATCATGCATTTGGAATTTTTCGAAAAAATTCATTTTTAAGGGGTGAGCCACCCCTGTGAATACTTCTTTTACCGCTTACGCGAGCAGAAATTGCTCTATCCAAATGAAACTTGGTTAATTTATAGACGAGAACAATACAAAAAAGTATATTTTGGTTTCTTTCGAAAAACGAATTCTAAGGGTTGTAACAACCCTTTAATAAATTGATGTATAATCTCGTTTTCAAACCAGCTTTGTACGACTTTCTTGGACTTAAAGGACTTTAACGATTAAAATTAATAAATGAATACGATCAGGTACTATTTTCAACATTAATTGTCACATAATAAAGTATAAGGTAAAATTTCATGCCCCGTTTTTGACAATAATAACCTGGGCAACGATTTAAAGTTAAATTATGACTATGCACATGATTTAAATCTGTAAACAAAGAGTAAATCCGTCAAGGAATGATTATGTACAAATGTAAATAATCATCCTGCTATCATTTCTAAGTAAATATTAAACATGATATCACACCATTCTAATTTATTTAAGGTAAAGTGAAACAGGTCGACCAATTTGAACGAAATGATAAATAGATTCTTCTAGATATCTACGTTACCGACGTTCGTACTTATATTGACAACTGTGTTGAATTGTATAGGGTATTGTATCCCATATAGAAAACTCCATATGTCGTTTCCGTACAATAATTATAAAGAAATCCAAGCAAAACTCTTGAAATGCTTTGGATTTATGATTTTTGATGCCCTAGTTGACTGCAGAGTGCGATTTTGCGACATCTGAGATTCAGTGCCAAATAAATTTTCTCTCCGAGACCTCTTATTACCATCGTTTTAGCATAGAAGCGCTTAAAACACTTTTTTTTTCTCTTTATCCCGTTTCAATGCGAGTTTCTTGATTATCAGAGTGTTCTAAATAATTGTTCTGAAACTTTCGTTTCCTATGTCAGAGCCTGTAATAATTGATCTAAATATGAGAGCTCGATGCCATTTTGATTCGGATCTAGGCTAAGTTAAACAATTATTTTTCGAAGGTATAATTTTTCAAAGTGTCAGGATGATTTTTAAATCCTCACGAATCATGTGTGAAAGTTTTAAATAGTTTGATTGAATACCCTTAAAAAAAAGTGTCTTATTCGAATTGATTGATTTGATGGAAGTTTCACTTCACCTTATTACTCCGTTAAAATGTCTTATATATAAAATATACCATTTTGGAGGATTTGCTGGATCAATGGCACAAGCACCGGCTTCAATTTTGCACCATGTAATGTCACACTCCGTCCAATACATTGTCATTCCGCTTTCTTCCTCACCATAAAAATTTAAATCGCCATTCGGTTCTGGATCGAATATGCTATCATCAGTTTCAGGATGTGCTTCTGCACCTACCATAGATCCGACTGAATGAATCGGACTCCATGCTGCTGGGTTAACCTACAATGAAGAACGAATTGCCCGTAAACCACTCCAGTAATTAAATGTTTACTGTTATTACTTTCTCGGCTTTGCGTGATTTAAGTTCGAAGAATTTTCATGTTATAAGGGAACAAAATGAGGATATACATGTCCAGGTGTCCGCTCCCGATATTGTTCGTTGTGATATACCTATCCTGAAGAAGGTGGAGGGATTTCAACGAAACTTGGCCTACGTATACGTTGTATCAGGACCATGCAAAAAACAATGTTGTTTAACAATGCGGCACCCTTCAAGAGAATGAACTATCTTTAAGGTGAAGTGAAACACGTCGAGGAACTTGATCAACGTTGATAAAGACGATTTTTCTAAATGCCTACGTTGCCGACGTTCGATTTTATATTGACAGCTGTGTCGAATTATATTGGGTATTGTACCAAATGGCATTCTCCACAGTACAGTAATGATAAAGAAATCGAAGTAAAACTCCAGAAATCCTCTGGATTCATGCCTTCTGGGGCCTAATTGACTGCGGAGGGACCCCCTGCGCCATCTGTGATTTCCAGGTCAATTAAATTTGCACTCCGAGACCTCGTATTACCATCGTTTTAGCATAGAAGCGCATACAACACTTTTTTTGCCTTTATCCCGTTCAAATGCGAGTTTATCGATTACCAGAGTGTTCTAAATTGTCGTAAAATTGTCCTAATCCTTTCGATTCTCATATCAGAGCCTTCGATAATTGTATATTGATCGAAATATGAGAGCTCGACGCCATTTTGGTTCTGGTCTGGACTGAGTTAAAAAATTCTTTTAAAAAATCCAAATTTTGAATGTATCAGGACAATTCTTAGATGGTCAGGAGTGACGTGTCAAAGTTTCAGACAGTTTGGTCTAATACCTTTAAAAAAAAAGTGTTGTATTCGAATGGACTGATTTGAAGGATGTTTCACTTCACCTTAAATCATGATTTCTTTTTTATAACATCTCGCAAGTAATTAAATCTATTTAAATAATGATTATGCTACATAAATGCTCACATAAAAATAGAATCTACACGGTTCTTGCATTTTACTAATAACCATTTAGATATCAGTTCATGTAGATGGGTATATGTATGTAGCATATAGTCTGACATGGTGGATTTTCGTCACCGGTCATCTTCCCCGTAATTCACTAACATGCTCCTTTTGAGAGCATAAAATTATCCGGGTCCCGCGGTCACTGACCCTTTTGGAGGGGGGATGCAATGAATTTTTAAAATTAATTAAAGTGAAGTGAAACCCATTGAGAATTTTAAATAAGATTCTTCTAAATACCTACATTATCAATGATCGTATTTATGTTGACAGCTGTATTGAAGTATGTTGGGTATTATTTAAAGAAACGTATTTTCATGTACTATTCAAGAAATTTTATCTGTAATCATGTAACGAGAATTGCATTAAATGGGTTAGGACCATTTTAGAACAAGATTTTACTGCTTTTCGTTAATTTTGATTGCCTGTAAACATCCGTTTTGTTTGGAAGAAGCATTCTGTTGCTCGAATAGATTCAAATTTTGCGCCGCTCCCGCCGCTAATGCTTTGTGCGGCCGTAGCTGGCAGCACGTCTGCAGAGAAGCCATTCATGCTCGCCAGTGAACATCGTGTTCGTTAACATTTTAGAACAAGATTTTACTGCTTTTCATTAATTTTGTTTGCCTGTAAACATCCGTTTTGTTTGCAAGAAGCATTCTGTTGCTCGAATAGATTCAAATTTTGCGCCACTCCCGCCGCTAATACTTTGTGCGGCCGTAGCCGGCAGCACGTCTGCAGAGAAGCCATTCATGCTCGCCAGTGAACAACTTGTTCGTTACAAAGAAGTTCAAATTTTGTTTTGGATGTACTTACCTTAATTGTACTGCTCATTCCTTCTCCAGAAACAACAATTGATTCACCAGATTTCTTTAAAGATTCATTAGATATAGTTATGTCATTAACATTTGTGTCAGCTAGATTATTCATAATCAGTGAGGTTTCCGTCCTGAAACGATTATATTATGTATCTACTAACATGTATAATATAATGATTACAGGTACCAGCTATGTTAACCATAATGTTTCTCACCGCTTTTTTGTTTCGTTATGGTACAATTCTTGGAATGATAATTCCTGAGAACTAGACGCCAGAGTACTATCACCAGGATGTTTCCATAGTTTTAGAGAGGTAGGTGTTGGCGCCGAGCGCGACTGTTCTTCCCATTCCTTATAATTATCAGTGCCATCACTTGAACTTTGGGACCGATTCTACAATTAAACGTATTACATTTTTCTATAAAACCGTAGGATAAGAAAAAGATAAAAAGGCTACACGGAAGAGAAAAAGTGAAATATTAATCATGTAACCATTCGTTATTTAAATTAGATCAGGACTTGCACCTGTCAAATGTAACAGTTCGCATTCGAATGAGCATGTGGAAAACAGCTCTATGCTTTTTATGTTTTGTAATTTATAAAGGAACATACTTTAGAATTATATTCTTACGATATCAATTAAAGAATTTCAAACAATTAAAGAATTTCTTTTAGTGATTAACATTTTTATTAATACATTTCATATTAACGTAACTCCGATGTTGGCTTTCTTTATAGTAAAGAACCCCGATCTCCCCGCGTCGCTAGGACGTGCTGAGCTAATTCGGTTTGTTAGTCGTCGGCGACATTTATCTCGTCACGTATCGCCGTTTGGGATACCTTTTCGCGTTGTTTGGGACAATTGTTTAGCACTGTTTCGCGTTAGAAGATCACCCGCGCCCTCACGCGGACTCGAACCGCTCCCGTCCCGCGTTGTGCACAACGACCGACCGTGTCGTGTAACAGCGGTGCATATAAAGACAACGAATAAAGTTATTCAGTTAATAGGATCCTGGTGCGAATACCTTAAACGGATTGACCCTCCCCCTCTCTGTGTCCCTCAAGAATATTTCTAGGCTAGTCGGTCTTTATCCGAAACTCTTACAATGTCCTCTTTCTTTTGGTACAGGTGAAGCCCCTTCTTGTTCTGGTATCCCCGTAGGTGCTATTTTGTCACCGTACTCACGCCGGGTGCGTCACAATATATATATATTTCTGATAAATATTACTTACAAGAGAAACCCAACTTTGATGACGTTGTTGTAGTACACCACTCAAGCTACGTTTACTGGTAAGGCTGAGACTGGCGTTACTACTTGCTCTACTTAATTGTAATGGCACGTTAATCAACCGCCATTTCTTTCCTGTTAGTTCGGATCGAGTAATGCCAGTTCGAAAATACAAACTCCGATCATTGTATCCAATGCCCCAAGCCTTGAAACAGACAAACATCATACAAATAAATTTCAAAAAATAAATTGATATGTCTATTTATGTAAGCTCACCGAGACTTTCATTCATTGAAAGAATAAACATTTGATGGATCCTTAAGGTTATACGAAATATGCTGAGAAATTTAATCGATGTTGATAACAGAAAATTCATCTATACTCTTTTTGATGGTAATGCCATTCCGAATACTTAAGTGGCAACATAAGCTGGCGCGTCACGTTACCGACATTTATATTTATGTTGGTCTTTCACAGTCTACGTTGATAATTTTGCGAAATGAAGCGTTCCATACACCATTTCAGTAAAATAATAATAAAGAGATGGACGTAAAACTGTCGAAAGAGGACGCAACATAGGATGAGATGTTTTTTGGTTCCGCCATTATATTCACGTCATCATCGTGCACTTTTTCTGCCACATGGCGCCAGTAGTAGCGCCGGCATGACTTTTTTGCACTTTATTCACGGCGGATGGCATTCTTATTCTAATAGTTTTCAAACGATTTTATCAGCTGATATAGCTTGTGTCACTATCATATTCAAATAATAGGGTTATACATCCGATTTGATTGATTGGTGGATTTGCGATTGCTTCTGGCTTGTTGCACTAAGAAATAAATATTTTTAAAAGTATTTCTGTTCTGAAAATAGGGAAGGAACAACAATATGTATTATATTCATTAAATAAATGTCATGACGATATCTTAATATTGTAATGTCGTAATGAGATAGAGGTTATAATCTAAGCCGTCACTTTTCAGGTAAGGCAATTCAGGGTAGAGAAAATTGAGAATCCTGTTTAAATATTTAATGAAATATTATTTGTAGAGTTGTTTTAATTAAATGTTGACTTGAATGTTCAAGCAGTAAGTAGTTAAAAGTCTAGTTCTAATTAGAAACAGATAGTCGATATATGTTGGCTCGATGTCAGTCATGTATCGACTCCCATCATCATGTGGATCTCCCATGATCATTTATCGAAAGCCTTTACATTTCAGTCCAAAGATTCAAGTCCACTCGTAAAGGAGCAACTAGCGACAGGTTTTCCAAGGGAAATGTCCTTAATTTTACTGAATTAGCGGAATGAAATACGTAAGAGATTAAATAGCTTCGAGGCTTTGTCTGTAAATTACTTGTATCATTAAAAATAATGTAAGATATGTATTAGATGTAAGAATGTGATGTTCTCGCTGTTTTTTTGTGAAAATGAGTGCTTTATTTAAAGTATGTGGTACAAAATACGTCATTGAAAGTATTGCCCATCACTGGCCACTACTTCTGCCTATCTTTCTGGCAGCATTTGAATTCCCCGTCGGAAAAACGATGCGTCATTTGACGCTATCCAAGAATCGATCCATTTTTTGACGTCTTCATAAGAATGGAAGTGTTGCTCAGCTAGGCCATGTGCCATTGTGACGGAATAGGTAATAATCAGAAGGGGCTATGTCAGGTGAATACGGCGGGTGGAGTAAGACTTCCCATTTAAGCGTTTCCAGGTGTTTTCACTGGTTTTGCCACATGTGGCCGAGCGCTGTCGTGTAACAATATCACCTTGTCGTGTCTCTGTTCATATAACGGCCGTTTTTCCTCCAGGGCTTTGCTCAAGCGCATCAATTGCAGTCGATAACGATCTCCTGTGATGGTTTCTTTCGGTTTGAGCAGTTCATAATAAATTACACCCGGTTGATCCCACCAAATGCAGAGAAGAAGCTTTGAAAGTATTGCCCATCACTCGCCACTACTTTTGCCCATCTTTCTGGCAGAATTTGAATTCCCCGTCGGAAAAACGATGCGTCATTTGACGCTATCCAAGAATCGATCCATTTTTTGTCGTCTTCATAAGAATGGAAGTGCTGCTCAGCCAGGCCATGTGCCATCGAACGGAATAGGTAATAATCGGAAGGGGCTATGTCAGATGAATACGGCGGGTGGGGTAAGACTTCCCATTTAAGCGTTTCCAGGTATGTTTTCACTGGTTTTGCCACATGTGGCCGTGCGTTGTCGTGCAACAATATCACCTTGTCGTGTCTCTGTTCATATAACGGTCGTTTTTCCTTTAGGGCTTTGCTCAAGCGCATCAATTGCAGTCGATAACGATCTCCTGTGATGGTTTCTTTCGGTTTGAGCAGTTCATAATAAATTACACCCTGTTGATCGCACCAAATGCAGAGAAGCTTCGAACCATGGATATTTGGCTTTGCGGATGATGTTGATGCATGGCCGGGCTTACCCCATGATCTTTTACGCTTAGGATTATCGTACTGTATCCATTTTTCATCGACAGTTACGACACGATGCAACAAACCTTTTCTTTTCTGCCTTTGAAGCAGTAGTTCACACGTGAGAAAACGCCGTTCGATGTCTCTCGGCTTCAATTCATATGGCACCCAATGTCCTTGCTTCTGGATCATTCCTAACGTTTTTAAACGTTTCGAAACCGTTGTATCATCTACTCCTAATGATTTTGAAAGTTCCGCTAACGTCTGACATGAGTCTTCATTCAGTAATTCCTCTAATTCTTCGTCTTCAAACTTTTTCGGTGCACCAGAGCGTTCTTTATCTCCAAGGTCAAAATCATTATTTTTGAAGCGTCGAAACCAGTCTCTACATGTTGTTTCCGATAAAGCATGTTCACCGTAAGCTTCAACAAGAATTCTGTGTGCTTCAGCTGCAGATTTCTTCTGAATAAAGTAGTGCAATAAGATTCCCCGCAAATACTCTTTATTTGGCACAAATTTCGACATGTTTGGAACCAAGTAAAAAAAACTCTGTTTACACTGTAGCGAACTAACACACTGAAGTTCAAGCTTACCGATAGTACTTCCTTGTAGATGCGTTACCATCTGAAATGACATCGCCGCCATCCCCGACGAACCGAAACATCATCGACAAGGACTCGAAGACGGCCCCAGTGGAGAAACCAAGACAGTGATGACGAGGATTCGGAAGTGGACACCACCAACGGAGAGCACGGAGCCGACGGCCACTCCGAGGCGGAGTAGCGGTAAGAAGCGGTGAACATCCCAGGGACGCGACACGTGGGTCTCCATCCCTTCCCTATACGGCCCGAACTCCATGTCGAGAAACCGGGTGGCAACTACCCGGGACCTAGGTCCCCAGCCTTAACAGAGATCGAACCAGACCCGAGGACGTTCGCATCTACCCGCAATACTCATTCCGACCGAGCGGATGTCGCACCGACCTCGACGAGCTCGCCGCATCCTCCGCAACCTTCTCGTCACCACAGAAAAACAAAACGGCTTAAGGGCACTCACCACTCTAGCGATTTTGCAGGGCCTCACGGGGACAACGATTCCGAAAGTATTTCTAAACCGATCAAGCTTAACGAGTGCTCATACCCGAAGATGAAACGTTGATGTGTGTTTATATGGGAGCGATTTTCGATAAGTGGTCATATTCATATAAAAAAGTGCAACGACATATTTTCAATGCCCTTTTAACTAGGAATGAGGTGCTTGATCGAAAATCGCTTCCATATAAACACACGTCAACATTTTATCTTTAAAACGAGCACCCGTTGAGCTCGATCGGTTGAGAAATACGCTCAAAATCGTTGTCCCCGTGGAGCACCTTTTTCAGGATTTTCGAGTTTCTCGCGAGGAATTTGGTCATTCCTTAGCAACCGTTGCCGACTCTAGGCGAGCGTCCAACTGGCGTGTGCGGGCGGCCGAGGGTCACACACGTTTCGGCGCCTAGTCCAGAGGTGTCTAGCCGTTGTGTGAGTCCTATACGTGCAAAATACGCACACATTTTTCGCTCGTTGCTAAACACCGCCCATTATGCGTCGCGTCTTCTTCATCCGAGCGAGAAAGTACGTTTTGGTTACCTCCCACCGAATTCGATGCTAATGCCATCTAGCGGTGGAAGTCATCGCCCCCACTTTGGTGGTGAACCCCGTTAAACCGAACAGACTTCACAGCTTGCCGTAGCTATTCCGTCGTTATTCGCTATTCCGTACCACGGAACCGTACATCAGTACGGGTCATCAACAAGGCGAGCCCGCAGTCAACAGCGACGGCATCGGCAGTAAAGTTAAATATCGAAGCAATGATATTTGTAATATCACAAGTATTCCTAGTGCTTGCCGTTAGGTGACAGCACGACCAACTCGGCATTGGCCGAGTAAAACCACTCTTTCTTAACCATTTAAAAGTAGAAACATACAATGATCGTAAACGTTATGTCTGAAATATACGATAAACATTCATAAATTGTTAGTGGCATTGTCACATACCTGGTCATTAGGAGCAATCGATACCGAAGTCATTTTACTCATCATTTCTACCCATCCTGTCCCAGTAGCTAATTGCACACATACACCACTCATTTCTCCCTTAATGCCCTTCCGAAACCAGACATTGCCGTCATTAGTTACTGCCCAGACAGCATCCATGCCCACGCTTACTTGAGTCAAGCGTATATCTTTCTGTGGAGGATCGACCTCCGTCCATTCATCACCTGCAGAAAGTACAAATTATACATATATTCAAATCGTTGTGAAAATAAACGATTTCCTTACCGGATGGATTTGCTCTCGTAATGCCGGTCCGAACTAAAGCTTTTCCATTCGTTAAGAGTACCCATAGCAGTCCTGTTAATCCGACGCTAACATGAGAAGCTTCGCAACTGACAGGTAACTTAATGGAATTCCACCGCTGACCTTCAGGGCATGTAGTACTAACACCAACTCTGAACATTACCTAAAATGGAGATAGCATACGATATTCACTTGTAAAAATATACGTATAAAACAAGCACTGATCATAAAGACATTAATTTATGATGTCTCGTAGGTATTAACAAACTCAAAAATAGAACAAAAATGATGGCGCACAATATGGAAAATTAAACATAGCATTGAACGTGTTTTGTGGAAATTCCAGTAGGTATGATAGTACATTTAAGGTGATATGAAAATGGCTTCTGTGGCATCAAATTATTTATAAAATTTTTCTCCGAGGCGGGTGCAAAGAATTGTTAGAAACTTTCCCATGTCACGTAGGCACTTCTGTACCTCCAAACTTAGGGAAAAATCATAAATCGGTACGCGTAAGACAGCCATGGAAGTCCGAGAACAAATCACGCGATTAAGGGCGCTCACCACTGTAGCGATTTTGCAGGGCCTCACGGGGACAACGATTCCGAACGTATTTCTAAACCGATCGAGCTTAACAAGTGCTCATATCGAAGATGAAACGTTGATCTGTGTTTATATGGGAGCGATTTTCGATAAGTGGTCATTTTCAAATAAAAAAGTGCACCGACATAATTTCAATGCCCTTTTACCTAGGAAGGAGATGCTCGACCGAAAATCGCTCCCATATAAACACACGTCAACATTTTATCTTTAAAACGAGCACCCGTTGAGCTCGATCGGTTGAGAAATACGCTCAAAATCGTTGTCCCCGTGGAGCACCTTTTTCAGGATTTTCGAGTTTCTCGCGAGGAATTTGGGCATTCCTTGGCAACCGTTGCCGACTCTAGGCGGAGCGTGCAACTGGCGTGTGCGGGCGGCCGGGGGTCACCCACGTTTCGGCGCCTAGACCAGAGGCGTCTAGCCGTTGTGTGAGTCCTATACGTGCAAAATACGCACACATTTTTCGCTCGTTGCTAAACACCGCCCGTTATGCGTCGCGTCTTCTTCATCCGAGCGAGAAAGTACGTTTTGGTTACCTCCCACCGAATTCGATGCTAATGCCATCTAGCGGTGGAAGTCATCGTCCCCACTTTGGTGGTGAACGCCGTTAATTTATTCGGTTATCCAGAGCTAGGCATTGACCGCCAAGCGCGTTCGGCGGCTCTTAGAACTCTTCAGGCCGTGAGAGGAATGGATGTTTTCCGCGAACGCGGGACACTTCCGCGCATTCACGCAGTAAATGTCGGGCAATGACGCTCCGCGCTTTCGTGCTTTAGCGCCTCGGCGCTCTCCGCACTTCCGCGCGTCCGTCAAACCCCGACGCCAATACGCACGGCCACAAGAATCTTCAGCTCGACGTCTTGTGACAATACGTATTTAAAAGTCTAGTTCTAATCAGAAGTGGATAGTCGATCGATGCTGACTCAATGTCAATCGTGTATCGACTATACACTGTTGACTGAGTTACCTTGTAAACTTATGGTTTTCAATTTATTAATATATTTATCGATGCCTTCAGATTTCAACCCAAAGATTCGAGACCACGTATGAAGCAGCACCTAGTGGTTAGTGGTAGTGGTGGCTTGTGCCGTAGGTAACGCATGTTTTTAGAGCAAAAAATGTACTTGCAGCTAAACGCCGCAAACAGCAGAACGAAGCCTTTCCGGCGTTCTCTCCGCTATGCCTTACGTTGGAGAATGCGATTGATTGGCTGTGCTTCAATTAGTCATCATAGGAAATTTATACACTCTAGAAAAAAATAGTACAGAACTTTTCGACTGCTTTTTCAACAAGGATAGCGCTGTATTAACCGTGACTACCATTTCTGTAACACCCTGTATAAATGCCGATGACATTACGCGTCCGCTTATACTACCACTTGAGTATTCAAAATGTCATTACCACCAAAGAGGATACAGATAAATTTTGGTTTACCAACGTCGTTTAAATTTCTCAGCGCCTTTCATATCACCTTAAAGAGTTTGTAAATAACATTGATGTGTTGTGAAACCACTTTACTAGTACACGACAGGCGGTTTAATTACTTACCCTTCCATGAGCCGTGACTGCCCATACCATTAAATCACTGCGATTCCCACCTGGAATGTCGTTACCTCCAACCGCTACAACTATAAACGGTTCCTATAATACAAATGTTCAGGGTGATAAGTCTCAGAATCTTCAAATAAACAAGGCATGATATAGATAATAACCTTTGTAGGATCTTTATGAAGAGGTGCGATAGCACACCAGGAATTCATAGCGCTATATCGTCGATAGCGAATCCATTTACGCCTTCTAACACAAGACTTCCACTGCTTTTTTGTAGAATACGTCGCAGAAAAGTCTACCGCATATGTCCATCCCTAAGAAGAGGAAGTGTTAAATGTTATAACAATGTTTACATCGTACACATTTTAATAACAGATAGTCATGAAAAAAATTTACAAAATATTTGTAAGGAATTGGACGTGTACGGCAAATGTAATTATCATTGCAACTGTTGAACCCTGGTCGTATTTGACTGGCTATCCATTACCATATACCCATAAGAAATGAGATCTGCAGGAATCCATGTGAAATCATTTTTGGAAACTGTCCAATCGCTTACGAGACCATCTAAACTCAAATCGGGCATTGAGAAGACGATCAGGTGCTGATAAAAAAAACGAATGCTTCGTTTGACTTAGGTCTAGACAAAACTAGTTGTTAACCCGATTGTGGCCAAGGCCGTTTGTTTGTGGTCATAATGGTCAAGACGAAATAAACAATTTTCTAACGTTGAAAAAGTTGATATGAAGAATGAAAAAATACAAGAGAATACACGTTACATTAAATGCATTATAGTTAAAAACAGGGACAGTTAATTGAACAGTTGAACATCGTGATTAGATTATTTGAATCTTTCTCGAAACGTCCGCGTTGTTTATGTTACGAAGGCCATCGCCGCCAACGGTGGACAGCCCCCAATTTCAGAAATTCGAACCTGGTCCAAGAGGGGCCCTTTTGTCTTGACTCCTCCTGGAAAGCACCCGCGCGTCTCCACCCGCACCTGATCGGTTCGCATTCAACCACCGGCTTCAACGGTATTTTCCGATGCGCAACGGCATCCTTTGATCCTAACGAATACGTGAATGTATCGTCTCAACATCTTATACCCCAACTCGCCAAAGGATTCCGCCATACCTCCAAAACAAAGGGATTGGACCGTTTGAAGGAAAGGTAAATCGCCTACGTTCGTTTTTCTCGTCCACCACCCTCGAGCCCACCCCGTCAGATAAATCTAGCCCCTCTACAGAGAGCTGGGATGTAACCGCGGTCTGACTATTATGCCACGGAGGGTGGTTGAATTCTCGTCAATGATATTTTCCCATTTTTTGGCTTGGAACCAGTTCATTATAATAATGCACAACATTCACGGAGAATATCTGGCGCTCTGTTTCGAAGGATCCAGAGGTCTTAGGTAGGACTAATGCGCTAAGGAATAGAATTAATCCTAAGTTCGATGAGGCTTCTGGAAGGGATGAGGACTCCTCATTTTCGTGGTGCCAGGTGCAAACGTCTTCTCTCATGGTCATCGGACTCCGTTCCCGCGAACGTCCAGCTTCCTTCTCACGGTGTCTCCTTGAGCCACGCAACGCCGTTCTCGAAATCCACATGCATGTACATTTCGATAATATAAAATTACAATATATTGTGACGTGTCGGAGGTACTCGACGCGACACCTATGTCAATTAAATAAAATCTTTTCCCCGCGAGGAATTAGTAAACGCGGTACCGACTTCGCGAGGGATATAAAAACGAGCGCTTGCTTGGCGCGCCGAGAGCGAGCCTCGCGCACACAACATGGGCAAAGTCACGAGGTCGCGAGATGAAAATTCGATCAAATCAAATCCAACGTTAACGCGAATCATCCTGATTGGGGGAAATGACCACGGCCTTGACCCCAGCGAATCAAGGGGCGAGAAATTACGAATTCGTCGAAGGGTAACCATCGTGTCCAATAGTACGTCAAAGAACACGGGCCAGAGTGGGAACGCGACGATATAGTAATAGAACCCATGAATTCCGTGGGTATAAAAGGCGTGGATTTTCACTAATCGAGGCCCTTTATGATCGTTCTGTACCCATCGAAGGAGCCTCTGGATGTGGTAACAGCGCTGCTCCTCCAGGACAATATCCTCATCTCACGATACCCTTGCTAGGAGTAACAGTATTGCACCACTCCCCTTGGCAAGTGGATGTAAAAGCTAGAGGAGACGAGGCAACAGGTGCCGTTCCTTACGAGCTAAAAATCTCGCCCTTAGTGGGCAGGTGGAACCGAGTACCCAGGGTAACGTCGGCAAAGCGTCCGGTTGGGATACCTCGGATCATCTGTGAACGGCGGCCCAATTGACGGAATCCCCTTCCCAGAATTTTCATCGACTTTTCAGGAAATTCGGCGAAACGACTCGCTCAACGTGAGGGGCGTGACGGCACAGAGCCGTTCCCCTTCCACTCGGTAGCGAGACAGTCCACGGCCGGTCACGCGCTCTCGCGTCTGCCCCCTCGGCGTTATGTAATTGCGACGTTCCCCGGGTGTATAGCCGCTTGAGCCGAACCTGGACGGCGGAAAAATATAAAAACAGGACGACGACGTCGGACTCTTGCACTTATCCCTCGGCGTGATGTCATTGCGACGTTCCCCGGGTGTATAGCCGCTTGAGCCGAACCTGGACGGCGGAAAAATATAAAAACAGGACGACGACGTCGGACTCTTGCACTTATCCCTCGGCGTGATGTCATTGCGACGTTCCCCGGGTGTATAACCGCTTGAGCCGAACTTGGACGGCGGAAAAATATAAAAACAGGACGACGACGTCGGACTCTTGCACTTATCCCTCGGCGTGATTTCATTGCGACGTTCCCCGGGTGTATAGCCGCTTGAGCCGAACCTGGACGGCGGAAAAATATAAAAACAGGACGACGACGTCGGCCTCTTGCACTTGTCCCTCGGCGTGATGTCATTGCGACGTTCCCTGAGTGTCTGGCCGCTCGAGACCATTTCGCATCCTCCCTCTCAGACCCAAAGACTGTCTTGCATTCGTGCACTTGCCCCTCGACGTGACGTCATTGCGACGTTCCCCGGGTGTTTGGCTGCACGGGCATTTCCGTGCCTGACGAAGGAAAATAAGAACCGTGTATACCAAAGACGATCTCGTACCCCCCGTCTAAGCCCCCGACGTGATGTCATCGCGACGTTCACCGGATGACTAGAGGTGCGGGGCGACCCAGCCTCTCGGTGCAACGTTCTTTCACACTTACACTTTGAGGGCGTGACGGTATGGCGTCGTTTCCCCTTTGTTAAAGGGTCTTGGAAACACACTACACAAAATGTGACCGTGGAGACTGCCCACACAAAATGTAGGATAATACAAAGAAGTCGTAATCAGGATTACGACTTCTTTTCCTCCCAATCGATGTGTTTGTTGGGGAATTTGTACCGTTGCAATCGGATGAATCCGAGAAACACGATAAACGTCTTCTTGCCCCAGACTTTCTGCTGATAAATCGTATTGAAGAATCATCCCTGCTTTCCACATCCACATTGTTATTAGTTTCACTCATCTTGATTATAACGGTATAATATTTAGTTCTTTAAAAACAATCAGGGAGTAATGTTGAAAAGACCAAAAAATATGTAGTCCGTGTAATATTGGTGAAGTATACGGTAACATTCAGCGTGAGAGATCACTGTTATACTAACTACCGTCTGCATTGCGCTTCTTTCTATCTGTTTGCTGATGCGATTTTATTACTCATATTGTTGAAAGGGGGAAAGCATCTTCGGCTGTTTAAAAAAAAAAGCGTCGATGTACGGCCGCAACAGATAATCCAATAATACTATACTGCCAGGTATTCGTCTATGATTTACATTAGAGTATGGAGTTAATCAAAATGGCTTCTGAAATAAATTACTTATTATTCAATGCCCAAAAAAATGTTGCCGTTTAATGGTGTTAATCTCTATTAATCGGGAAAGATCTTATAAATATAAAAAGTTATTACTATACCAAGTGCTTTGACACCTAAATTTAAGATTTTTCAAAAAGTGGAGTTAGTCGATGTGTACACTGAGCGGCTCATATGTAATTCCGTCAATGCGATAGGATGGTTGTTTTTTTATGCATTTCAAATGTATTTTTCAATAAAAATATTTAGGCAGATTTCGTTGAATATCAAATCCACGTCGTTCGATTGAAGATATCAAAGTCCCAATAAGCCATCGTATCGAATTACTAGGCTGTCATCTGCATGCAGTTAAATTATTACTCGTTATTTCAATTGTATCAAGCGTCAAAGTGGTTCTTGATGTGACGCTGAAAAGTAAATTTTGCGCTCGTTGAGATTTATACTCTTTGTTTTGTTTGTAATGTTTATGTTGAACAGATAATAAAAGCCGTGGGATCATCACAAGTTATTTTTATGCCTACTACGGTTCAACTCTCCACTCCTTCAAAACTGCACAAAATATTTTAACGCAGTGGGGAAAACTACAAATTCAAACTGAATATTCGACTATAGATAAACAACTATTGACGTCATTATAGGGAATATTTGACGCTAAAATAATTAATAAATCAGATCCCTGAAAATCGCCATTATTTCAATGTCAGTTCCTCTATTCCGTTCCTTTCGAGGATCATTGGTGCGTATCGAAAACACTCACATTTTGTATCCTGTCGTAATGAATACATCTAAAGTAACACATACCATGCAGATTTATATGACAAATGTAAACTAATTTAAACCATTTAATAACATACATCATGATCAAGCGGTTGACCATCCATAGTAGTATCAGTGTGCCAGTCTCCTTCCCACTGCCAGGCCATCGAAGGTAATTTGACTTTATCTCGACTACGGTCAACTGTGCCATCGTGATTAGAAAAATTGTATCTGTCTGTTGGCAGTAGTCTTCCACTGAAGCCTTCTATTGGGAACCATCTCTGAAAAAGAGCAATTTTACACAGAAATGAATTAAATGAGTTAAGGTATTTGTCGTACTAGCTGCTAGCCCAATGTTACTTGAGCCCATTTGGTATTTTTTGTAATAACTCCGATTACATAGATTCTAAGCCTTTACTTCATCATTCTCCCATGCTAATACTACGGGGAAGCTTCAGAAAGTGAAGGAGATCCAAAGGATACTCGATCTCGGTATTATTTTACGATCTAACAGTCCCTACACATCATTAGCCTTATGCTAACGGTTAGAAAAAAAGATGGATTGATTTATCTCTATTCAGATACACGGAATTTAAATGCAGACTACGCATGGTATGTACATCACTGAAATTGCAACTGAACCAGAGACCCGCAATATGTCGGGGGGAAAAATGGCTCAAGGTTGAGACAACAGCAGCCATCGATGACCGCCAGACGATGTCCAAAATTAATTCAGAAGAATCTGCTAAGGAAATAAAAACGAAAATCCAACTATTAACACGACTGCATTTTTCGGGACGACTCCTAACTCACACGGGGGTGTGAAACGGCACCAACGCCCCGTGGAAACCTTCCGATGAGGCTGTGTACCGGACTTGCGTCACATGAATGTAGGGCTTCACGCGGTTTCCCGCGGACAATGAGTTCAAGGTGCCTTTTTCGGAACGGTCCTTATGTCCCTGCAGAGAAAGCTTCATCCATTCGTTCGTTAATCGGCCAAGAGCTACGGAACTGTTTCGGGACTGGTTTTCTGGGTTGGGTGAGTAAAATACCATAGGTAATATACGTAGTTTTGGATCTTGGATATGTTTTAGAGGACCAAAAAATAAGAAACACGTGTATTTTTATTTTGGCCCGTTTTCATATTAAGAGGATGAAACAATCCCTCAAATTTCATAAAAAGAGGTATAAGAATTTTTAGTTTAAGCATAATGTGTTGAGTAATGTTTGTAAATTTAATATACGTCATAAGTTGCTTGGTATATAATGGTCTGATTGGCATTTACCCTTGCCTGGGGGTACACTACCAGTAATCGCATAAAGACACTGTGACCTATATCCCACCCGGGATACCTATTGTTCACAAAAGGGCCCTAAGTTCTAATGTACTTAATCTCCGCCCTGGCTCGCACCCACCTCTGACCACACACACGCTAAGTATATACCGGTTAAGCGTCAGGCGTCCTAAGACGCCAAATCTTAAGGAACCTTTGGCCTTCCTTCCCTAAAGGCTCGGACTATCCCCTCGATAGCGAAGCCGGAAGGCGAGGGCAAAGGGTTTATCCTCGGCCTCTCAAAAAGGGGATTTGATCCGTACTACAGGTAAGTTGATCTGTGTTCAGATCAAAATATGTTACCACTTTGACGTAACACCTTCATATGATTGTGAATTTCGCCCATATGTCAAAAAGGCTTAGCAGTCAAAGGGTTTCAGCATTTAAAAAATGCAAAACAGCAGAATTTATAAAAGTGGCATAATGGTGACCATGACGCTTTGTTAGTTCTATTGTATGCTAAATAAGAACATAATGTATTAAAAATGTACGTTACTTGTGATAAACATTCTTAGACTATCAGTAATGACTTGGTAAAATGCCACGCCGATTCCTTCAACTTTTCTTAAAAATAAGTACATCCCTAAAATTATGTTGTTCTGGACCGTTAAGAATGCCAAGAAATCGCATAGAGCCAACTGGATGGCTATAAAAAGATTTCACTTACTTCATTCTCGTATGTTTCCTCTTTAATGCGAATTGGTACATCGAAGCCATGAACGTGGACATAAACTTGCCGATCACCGCCAATTGCCCATATAAAGTGGGGCACTGCAGATAATTGTTTAAATTCCAATCCAAGGTACGTAAACTCTCTCCACATCGTGCCGGACGAAGATAGTCCAAACAAACGCCCTTCTGCGTTGATTGCATATAAATACATACTGGGCATCTTTATCTCAAGCGATGCTCTAAAATAAAAATAACGTGTTATTATATCAATATGATTTTTGGTGTACAGGAAGAACGCGGTAAATAATACACTTTAAACAATGGTATCACATTAATTACTTAGTTAATTATACCATAAAGGTAATAAGAACAGGATATCCAGGGTGTAACAGAAATGGTGGTTCCGCTTTAGACAGCACCATCCTTATTGAACAGAGAGTCGAAAAGTCCTGCACTATTCTTTCCTACAGTGCATAATTTTCTTTGCGACGCGGTTTTCGTCACAATAAAGGGCGCTCAGTTTCGATTTTTGTTTAACATAAAATTCTCTATTATTCTAACACATTTTCATACTCGTTGGGCGCCAGCCGCACGTCGGCGACCCTAAATCCTAATTCCTCGAACCGAATGTACGGGTGAGCTTCGCGGGTTCCCGGCCGTAACGCGGCTACTTATTATACATCGCCGCCGCCACTCGCGAACGCCCTCGTGGGTCTCATTACACGTTATTTCACCTAATATTCGATCGCGAATATGGCAATTATTTTATTACCCCAAAGGTTTCACGGACGTTCCCCAATTATCGCGGATTCTTCCCCTATGACTTTCGCGGATCTTCCTCTGCCACTTACTTGGGCGGGGGATGTTCGGTGACTTTCTCTAAAATGTTGGCCTCTTAGGACTCGTCGGTCTCCTTTCTCTTTTCTCAAATAGGCGGTATACACACTTGCCTCGAGTAGGGCAATCCTCGGAGTGAGAGCAGGTCGCGGTACGCACGCGGTTCCGGGTCCTTTTTCGGCAGTATCCGGGGCGCGGATGGACCGGGCGGCCTCGCGACCGGAGCTTGGATTGGCTCCAGCGCGGTGGCTTTGGTGGGATCGATAGGTTTTTTGATCCTCAAAGGGTATTGGAAAGTTGCAATGAGGACTGTTCGCGCCGAATTAGCAAGAGCTAAATTAATAATTATCATGACCCGTGTGGTTCAAGCTAGCCTCTGCGTCCTGTCGCGCCGTCCAGGCGCGCCAACCACCACTTCAAGGGTCGACAACGGCGTCGACCCCCTGGAGGTAGGGTCGTCGTCGCGACACGTCTTTTGAGCTCAATTCGTAACGCGCCTTTCTTCATCCGCAACTGTCTCCTCCAACCCATCTGGAAAATGTCGTTCTAAAGTTCCCAAGAAAACCTTCGTACTTCTCGATCACGTCCGCAATTAGGACAATTTATGGTTTCCGCTCTTTTACGCTTCTTCTAGAGCTTCTCCAAATTCTCGAACGACAACCGCATACGCAGTCCCCACTTACGCCTGTGGAACTGCCTAAAATCTCCCTTTCCTCAACGTTCTTCTAGACCAATCGGCTGCATACAAAAATGCAATTCGCCGATCTTCTTCAAAACTCCGCCTCTGAAATCTCTCTCTGGGACCCTCTTATTTCAAACTTTGGTCCCAACCACCAGATACGATTGAACAGCCGTAGCGACCATCAGCGTCCCGGCATTACCGCGTCCTTCGGTCTCCCGCGCGACTTTACGCGTCCGCGGTATCTAGCGAGATAGCTTCGATCTCCCGCGAGATCAGCGATTCTCCACTCTTACGCGCTTAACTTCTCTAAGTCCACTCATGCTAGTGGCCCGCTCAACTAGGCATTCATAATCGTGCCGTTACCTTTACTCCGTTATCTCATTGTCAATCCGCTTTAACTGTAAAGTTCTACCAGTGTTAAATAAATGTTTAAGTTTCGTTGACCGCACTTCACATCCAGTACTTCTCTAGCCGTTCCTCCGCGAATCGAACCAACATAACATTTAATGGTCCTTCGAGCCGTGGATCGTGGAACGGAACAAATACACTAACTACGAACAATCTCAATCTCTCTCTCTAACAAGGACACAGGAGGGTTTTAAGGTTTCGTGAAAATCAAGTCGTTGTTTTGTATTGAATGAGACAGTTCTATTTATGATGTAAGGGGTACAATGTCCATCGGGGTAAGGTGTGCAAATATGTGCTGTGCTAAACAGATCGTCGCGAGTCGAGACAAGGACGTTGTAGGCCGCGCGCTAGCGTCTCGCGGAAGTGTAATCGAGATACGTCCGCGCATCAATTGCGGAATGCTGACGCGGGATTCTTTGCTTGCAAGGTGTGCTTTGCCTTACTCAGCGAGAGCGGCTAATGAGTTGCGATTCATACTTGAAGAGTTAGAATTTGATAGTTGTTACCGGAAGGTAGATACCGAATTCTATTGCGGGTTAGTAATTTGGAATAGGGTTCGAAATAGAGTGATAAAAGAATAAAAGAGTGAAAGAGTGGAAGAATGGAACTCTTCGAAGAGGACCTGTACCTTGGCTTCGCAGAGGCCTTTACTTCCAGTGACGTCTCTCCTACGTCCTGCCGGTTGCGATGAACTGCACGTGAACGCCTTCAAACCGGGGCGTGTCCTAGGGTTGGAGCTTCCTAAGATTCTCCCGCTGGTCCGGAATTCGCAGCGCCATCGTTCCTCCTCTCAGTGTTGGCTCGTGGATGTCGGAGTACCGAAACGCACAACTGTTACTATGGTAGGGTGATCAGCTCTTCAGAAAGCTCCAGCCTCGCTACTGAGACTGCACTGTACGCTGTCTTAAACTCCTCTATACTACCGACGGCTGCTACTTTTCGGTACCGCTTTTATACGAGATTTTATCCTTGAGATGCCCGTGAGGACAGGGTCAGTTTCCTTGTTTTTGGATTTTGTTGTTAGAGACTTGATCGGACGTGCTGAGGTAGTCACTATGTTGACGGAAGGGTAGATCCCGTGTTTTGGATCAGAGTGCAGTTCGATGTGGAAGGCGTGCGAATAAGCCAAAACATGCCTCGATGATTATCCCACTCGTTGTTATTCTTTCGGTTTAATCGGACGATACTGTCGTTGCTTTGGGTTCGATATTTATCTTCCGGTAACTGACTCATATTTAATAGAATGCGCGCCTCTCTATTTTGAGGAAAATCGGGTCCGTAACAGCCGTAAGCCTCGTAACAGTATATCAAGCATCAAATGCAATTCCGAATGGCAACAGATGAAATAATACAAGATACAAGAAAGCAAATTTCAGGGAAATTAAGGTATCACAGAAAAACCGTCGGCAGCCAAATTAATAATAAATTGATACGCAAAATAAGCATGCACAAATACAAATTACGCGACCGGAAATACTAAATACACGCTCGAAATTTTAATGGCGCCAGAAATATTAGAGGGCGCCCAATCTACATAATTACGCTAAAATGAGTTCGATTTTTCCGATAAGCGGAGAAAATTACGTTAATTATAGAGACTTACGCCCCGCGCTCATGGAACGTGACGCGGGCGACCACGCGGTCACCGCGCGGCTTCTTCGCCTCCAACCGCGGGGAACTCAGACAAAGATACAGAAAAATATCACGACGCAAAAACTCAAAAGTTACTTGACAATCTACAAGATATTATAAACTGGCCGAAAATCTCTCGCGTTTCCGCGAAATCAGATAATTGCGGACAGTTTCCTCAAGATCCGAAAAAGAAAGAAAATGTGAAGTATTCCTCAAAATTAGGAAACGGCGAACACTTTCTCAAAATTCAGCAAAAGGCGGATAACTTCCTCAACGTTCAACAAAAGGCGGATAACTTCCTCAAAATTCAGAAAAAGGAGGACAACTTCGAAACCGAGATAGGCCTTAGGCCGGGGGCCTCCAATCTACTCGACAAGCTAATCGCGACCGGGACACTCCGTTTCCTCTTTTATATTTTCCACCTGACGGATTCTCAACCCCCCTTAAACGCGATACGGGTGCTCGCCCGCGCGACACGCGGGAGGACCGCCTCCGCGACTCCCAATCCGGCCGCCGGCACGAGACTTATGTCCGATTTTCCCAAAGCTGCCCGCCCGCACGATTCCTTGGACCTTGAGTGACGCTTTTTTTTTTTTAAGCGAAATCCTAAACTAGTCCAATTACGTTCCCCTGGTTGCTACCGTTACCGACAAGGGGTAGATTAAAGAGGCCAAAAACCGAGGAATATTCTTGGAAAATTAAATCGCCGAATCCGTATGATATCCGCATATCAGAAAAACTAGCTCGTACTGGTATTCGAGCGACAGGCCCAGTGAACACTGTTATATAACTGTTGGGTAAATGTTACGTTTTCGAAACTAACATGTTATGTAGCATAAAAGTAACATGGAAGTTAGATGTTAGTTATTATTTCCCACTTGGTAAGGTAACATGTTATATTAATGTTATATTAATGTTATAATTTCAGTTACCNAATAGTTAGATATTAAATGACAGATCAGACTTTCAACGAAATTATGTAAATGATAAACTATCTGATTTTACTTAAAGACTATTATGATTTCATTCGACTAGCAAACAATTACTGATAATGTATATGCGAGTACGAATTAAAATCATTTTCATATGAGTAGTAAACAAAGTATGACATATATTAATCTTATGACATTTGACGATGAATTATGACAATGACGATGACGATGATGTAATAAAATAGATGACAGTTAGCACCAATGTAGTTCTGTTTTGTTACAAATATGTGCTGCATATACACAGTAATATTAGGACAGTGACATAATGTAAGATAAGAGTAACAAAGTTATGCTACATTTATGTAGATATGATAGTAACAAATGTTATGTAACCTGTTAGCTCTATGTTACATAATTGGTATTTTACTGCATTGTAACAAATGGCATGTAACTAGTTAGCTCTATGTTACGTAACTGTTAGGTTATTATATTGTAACAAACGTGATGTTATTTGTTAGTTATAAGTTACGTACCTGTTAGGTTTGGTATTCAGTGGGTATCTAAGTATGGTGTCTGAAAAATGTTTTCTAAATTTTAATACAATAGAGGAACAAATACAATTGTAATCGTTTCTTCATAACTATCAAAAAACACGTTCAAATACGCGTATGTAAATAATTTCATTTTAAAATATGTACATTTATTAAAATGATGATTTTACATTTAACATATCCTGTGCAGAAGAACAATATAAAACAAAAATAGAACACTTTTTCACTTATCACATCACATTTCCTATAATGTAACCGAGATTTTATTTAAAATGTGTCTTGTATCATGAATAACTAATTTTCTTACTTTTTCTCAAATTTTATTTAGACAAAAATCATATTCTTTATAGTTTTTAAATACATAATATTAACATAATCATGTCTTATTGAAAGTATTTTTTTGAACGTGCATTCTAAAGCTTGTATTAGTCAATAAAGTGCAACCTGAGATATTATATACACTAAATAAAAGAAACAGTAAATAGCAATACAATAAACAGTCTATAAAAAACGTATTAAAACAGGGTGCCACTCCTCGTAGGATTGAATCATAATAGTACATTGTAAGGGCCAGAATATGTTAAAATTATATCACAAAAATAAAAACAATCTCATTTTATTAGCCATTCTATATTAAAAAGTAAATATATTTAAATAATGAAATACAAAAATTTGAAATTAATTGTATTTAATGCTATTCTGCTCAGCCAGTTATGTGTATGGTCCTTCACTTACTAGAAACTATAAGTAATAAAATATTTTGCATATATACATGAACAATTTTATACATGGTGTTCCAGACTACCCGTCCACCCCTATTAAAATGGAGGGAAATGGTTCATATTGAAAACTCAAAAAAATTTGGTAAGTCGGGTATGCTTTATCAAATGGTGATAATTTTATCTTCCAATATTAAATGAAAATTGTATATGCACACTTGAAGTTCAGTTTTTTAAATGGTATGTGGTATTATCTATTTCTCATTAGGATTCTACGTCAAAGAATTAAAATATGTTCCGAAGATTTGTTTTGAAAATGCCTTTATTAAACTTAAACTGATTTTAAGAGCTTGCTCATGTAACTCACCAACTTATGTAAAAGTGTATTTACAGTTCATTTTACTGTTTAATCCTTGATGTTAACAATGTTTATTATCCGTGTTACAAAATATTCTACATAAACAAAGTGATGCAAAATTTCCATCAAATTTGCCTCATAAAATATCATGAAACGAGTCATAAGAGTGTTGTTTATGAACCCTCATTTGGAACTCATATCAGGAGTACACAATGATGAACTAAAAATACTTAAATATGAAACAACATTAAGTACATGCAATGTCTCAATATTGATATGCATATGTACAGTGATGGGGATGAATGCCTTCTCTTCCTGTACTTGCGGTAGCAGGTCCATAAGGGAGGCATTCATCTCCGCCAGTGTATAGCTAAATTTATCTCATACATTGTTGATAAACAATTATAGCATCCGTAGCTCATATTTGAGTCATGGCGTGATGGAAATGAGAACATGAAGCAATGTCAAATTTAGCTAACATTTGTAGCATTAACTAACTTCATACAATGTCCGTAAATTAATGTCATGGAATGACGTTATAGCACCTGTTAAATTTTCCATAAATTTTCATTTAATAAATGTCGATTATGGCATAACTGACATATGATTCAAGTATGCAGTAAATATTTTGCTACAACCATTTATGGTAAATTTGCTGCAAATTTTGGTTCAAATTGTTTTTGTTAATGTGTTCATAAATTTTTGTTCCTACTGTGTGAGATGCATACATATATGGCAAACATTTAATGCAGTAAATGGTCTGCAAATTATTTGTAAATCATATGATGATCATGAATTACTATCTGGAATATAAAGCTTTAAATTTTTGTTGTTTTATTCATTTTTAAACAGATTTTATTTCAGAAAATATGGTTTTAAATTAATTGTTCATCTATACTTTAATAACATTTCGCTGTCTAATTTTAATTTATAATAAAAAAATAACCACCTTTCATTCCAAAAATTTGACTTCTAATTAAGGTGATGTGAAAATGGTATCAAAAAGTTCTCGTTGATGAAACTCTTGCAAACTGGGCGTACCAAATCTATTCAAACTTTACAATATAAATATGAAGGGTGTAAAGGAAGACCTGAAACTCATGAAATTTTTGTTTTTTTTTAAATTTGATCACATTTTTAAATGTATGTTGTTAAATTTGTTATGAAAAATGAAATTTCACGAATGTCATGACCTTCCTTATAGCCTCCACGTTCACGTTGTAAAGTTTGAAATGATTCGGCAGACCCAGTTCAGAAAAAAGTTTCATGAACAATTGATCTTTCAGGTGCCACTTTTACATTCCCTTAACCCTTAGCGCTCCACAAGTTTCGTAACGTTATGACGAATGTCTCCATAGCGGAGCCAACGGAGCATTGAGGGTTAATAGGTATGGATGGGTGGTCTGGAATACCCTATACATTAATTTCTACATCTAATTACTGTTTTAGTTTCTTTAAACAGCTTACTTAAACAAAAAAATGAATATTTCAATTTCATCATGGTTTAAATATTGATATTATTATAGAATAATATAATGGTGAAAACCAAACGGTTGAATTGATAGACTGTTAAAAAAACCCAAGTCTAAACTACCCTGTATAAAGACTGGAATGAAACATTTTAATTACAGTGAATACCTGATTTTTACTGTCCCATATTCTGCTACTGAGAAAAGGAAAAGAACAAAATCCAGTTCTTATCAACCTTTTAGACATGTAAAACTGAATTTATTCCTCTTAACCCTTTCGCGACCACGGAACTAACCATCGGTGAACCACTGTACACAGTAAGATTGTGTTGCGCAAAATTGGTAGATATAATTTAGTGATATGTCTGCGTATGATCAATTTTAAAAATGACGCACTTAGTAAATGCCGGATATATCCGGCACTGACCAGTATTAAGCATTTAGTGGATGTCCGATTAAATAAACAGTGCATTTCTCTTAATGTAAAAAACAATTTAATAGATATTTCTTGCCGAAACTGGAAAGAATTAAACAAAGTACACTATACAATTAAACAGGGTACCCTGTACGAATAAAATAAAATTACGTTTTATAGGAAATGTATTCCTGTAGCATGAATTAGGCTTGTGGAAAAATCAGATATTAAATAAAATGGAAAGATCGTTACTTTTATAATGCAACTGAAATCTGTAATCCTGTTCTATTTAAACTTTCTTGCCAGATCATTATCGCTAAAGCAATAAATGTTCTTTTTAAACAAAGCAGTCATATTTCTGTGTATTCATTGCAAGGATAATAATTGTTTAATATAAGACAGTAGTTCAACATGCAACATACCTAACCCAATATACCATTTATACTATTTTCAAATATGAAAATAATACGTACATGAACATTGAGCTGGATACAAAACCAGGACAATAATATAATAAATTACAAAGAGATATTAAAACAATTTACACGTTTTGAGAAGAACTACCACTACAAATCCCAATATATAACTAAATTATCACTCAATAATCTAAAAACATGTCAATTCAAAACATTGTTAACCCTACTTCAAAAACAAAGTTACGAAGTACATACTGTATCAATTCAATAAATCGTACCTCTTTAAGCTTGACACAAAACAATTCTTTTATTTTCCTTTGCTAAAATTACGTTACAACATTTACTAAAATATAACTTAAACAAAAACGATTACTTCCCATCGTTAAGCTTATATTTAATCGGAAAGCCGCTTCCGCACACTTACAATTCTCTGACAGCAATCAGAAAGTGCACAATTTAACAAAATACGGAAATAGGTGTTTTATGCTATTACGAAAACTGAAGCTTCAATATCCAATAGCAAACCCCGGCAACGATCCCTGTTGCCAGGGTTGGAAATTACTATTCGTTACGATTAAACTGGCGAGCATAAATGCCACTAATATTCCTACAAATGTGCTGCTTCCTTCGGCCGTGACGCGTACTAGCGGAGAGAGCGGCGCACAATTTGAATCGCCCTAAGAAACAGAATGATTTTTCAAAATAAATAAAACATTTAGAAGCAAACAAAATTAATGAAAAGCAATCAAATATTATTCTAAAGTGTTTCCACCCCATTTAATGCAGTTTCTGCCGTATGACTACTTACAACAATTCTGAAACAATATATTAAAATACATTGTATCGAAGGCTCATTAGTTTCTTCGCGATTCAGACGCTCTATCCACTGAATCGAAATATAAATTACATCTCACCTTAAAAAATAAAACGAATGTAGTAATTATTATTTAGTTACCAGGTGTATAACCTTAAATCCGCTGTTTTTTTAGTCAGAAAAACGCATGTTTTTTCATAGAAAGCGAAAAAATAATTTATTCAAAGAATTGGCCCTGGCTAGCTACACATTTGTCTCATCTCTCGGGCAGTTTGTGGATACCATGCCAAAAAATGTCTTCTTTTTCGAGGCAAACTACTCATCAAGCCAATTGTCGAACGTCTTCGTAAGAATCGAAGTGTTGCTCAGCGAGTGCGTGGCCCCTCGACGAAAACAGGTGATAGTTGGAAGGGGCCTGATCTGGTAGATAAGCGGCATGGGGTAGCACCTCCCAGTTGAGGGCCTCCAAGTAGTTTCGGACCATTATTGACGTGTGCAATGGTGTGTTATCGTGGAGGAAAATCAGCATGTCATTGTCTTTGCTGATAATCCGGCCTTTTTTCACGCAGAGTACGGTGCAATTTGATCAGTTGTTGGTGGTAGCGGTGGTAACGGGGCGAATTGGGAGCGCCTGCGCGATACCGAAATCGACGGCAATCGACGCGTGCGCAATGCGAAGCAGCGCGGAATTTGAATCGCTCGAGGGGCAGAATGGATTTCCTAAAGAAAACAAATGTTTATAAATAAAAACAATGAATGAAAATTATTTAAATATTATTGTGGAGTGCCCCTGACCCACATAACGTAGTTTTTGTTAAATGATGATTCACGAAATTTCTTAAAGAATATAATAAAACATGTTTCATTAAAAGTTAATAAGTTTACGTTCTACACCATTCTTCGTATTCCTCTTATGAATGGACACCTGTAGACTATTAAAGGAGCATGTAAATGAGCACCCGCAAACATACGAAAGACTTTCTTTATCCGAGTTTATTATAAACGCAAATCTGAGTAACATTTATGAACTGAATTCATTCAAAATAGGTATCCAAAACGTAACACCATTTTCGATTTTGTATTTGATATAAGAACAATAAACTATTTTGGATTTCCAACTTTAAAAAGATTTTCAATCTATTTACGTTTGAAATTAAATACTTCCAGAGAAATGAGAATAATAGGAAAGAATCGATTATAATGATATTAGTTCTATCAACTCAATCAACCTTCGAAAAAGTTAAACAACACGCATAACTCGAAATAGCCACTTTCGCAAAAACTAATGAAATTAAATTGTTTACATGCATTTTAAATACAAATACGAGTTATAAAATTACGTTTCCGAAAAAGGCATGGTCAACGAAGGGTTAACGTTACAAGTAGATGACACAGTTTATTCGAGACGACAATTCGCGTGGAGGAATTGATCTTCCATTCTCTCTGTTAATTATTTGATCACGGTCGTTGCAAAATAACAGTCCGCCTTGCGAGCCGCGGAAGGAAGGGGCGATAAGGTCCGAGGGTGAACGACCGCAAGCGAAAACACCGTCGGGAGGCATAAGATCCGCGAGAGAGCAAGGGAGAACGCCGCTACGGAAGGGACGCGACCGTAGCCCGGAGTAGAGAGAGAGAGAGAGTCTTTCTCGCCGGCGTGTAAACATTGACACTAATCCGATTATCGGGAACCGGTATCGAGACCCGCATAATAGGGGGTGGAGGGCCCGAGACTGGAGTTTTGAGAGTGGTAATGGAAGCACGAGGCCTTTACGACGCGTAGGAGCAAAAGAGAACGCCACGCCCCTCGAGCCCCTAGTCGGCGGCCGAGCCGAGTCGGCTACGCCAACGCAAAATCGATATCTGGTCAGAGCCCGAAACCCGGACGCATAAGTCTGTCCCATGTTATCCGAAGGATAGCGCATCAAATAAACTATTTCACTCGGACACACGGCTCCCAGGATGGAGATAGAGGGACACAAGTATGCAGTTCCCTTACCGCACCGACCCTCTGTCCTTACGCTATCGCCGAGGGTGAGTGTCGACGGACTCGAACACTTTCCGAATGACTCACCCCGGTCCTTCCCTTTTTCCTCGATGTGTCACGTTTGTCTGACAATTGATGTAACGAAATATTTGCCATTTAAATCTACTTTGGGATGTTACGGGGCTGTTCGACCGTCGCGAAATATACTGCAACTCCTTTGCATATAATATCGTAATGCAAAACTGTCAATCCGTTCCGCAATATAAAATTTGTTCTCCAATTATGGTTCAATCTTTTACTGTCGTAAATTTAATGTGTTCATGTAATCAAATTTGAAAATTAACGAGAAATCCTGTGGTTTTCTGATTGCTTTTCAGTGGTAGCAGATTGTATTTTCTATTAAAAAAAAAATTAACTTGTTTCCTGAGTGTCTTAACCCAATATTTCCAATTTCTTGTACTTATCGAACCCCAACTTGCAGTCCATTGGGACATCTGTATTAAAAATTATATCAAAACTGTTGCTCACCCTATAAAATGCTTCTTAATGGCATTCAAGAATATTTACCAGTTATCTAAAATTGAAACCAATTTGTTAAAAGAAATAAATAAATGTTACTAACATGAACATCTCAGAATCGTACTGATTTACCCCGTGTGAGGGTATTATAGTTGTTAGTATTTATAACATTTATTTCTTTTTCACCGATCAGAGCTGTTCTCGCCGTGTTCATCGGGTAATCGATTCATCGGGTATCGCCGTGTTCAACAGGGTAAACAGGGAAAACGTCCTACCGCTGCAAGGTAATACAACGGTTATACCCCTCCCGGGGTTTATATGTCTTCATCCGCTTTTGAATGACGTATTACAGTACAGACCATTACCAACTGTGAGTCCTTTGTGAAATTTCTTCAATTTTCGAATAAATAGGTTATTAATTTAATTCCGCCTCTGGTTATGCTTTCTCGAAAGGACCCCGCCCTCTCCGCGGTCGGTTGGGCGTACTGAGCTAACCCGGTTAATTTTCGTCGTCGGCGACGCTGCGTCTCGTATCGCTATCTTCCGTTTGACTTTCCTGTGTCTGGTACGTTCTGGTATTTTTGTTTTCAGTTAGTTGAGGGACCGACCCTTCGGGCCTTACGCTGGTGCGAGTCCGTGCGTGAGTCAGGAGGCTCATCACTTGTGTATGAGCACCCGGACGCTGGTGCGAGTCCCGACGGATTGGGCGCGTGCGGTTCGGGTCCCGGATAGGCCCATGGGAGGGCCTGGGGCCCAAAATTTTGGTTGCTGTTGGGCGAATACGAGACGGAGACTCCATTTTCAGATTATTTATCTGTGACTTCACCAGAGGGTCGGAACGTTAATTACCAGGATTTTGTTGCGGGCGTTATGTAATAAAATAACGTCACAAAGTATAACATCAAAATGATTATCAGGAATTTTGAGAAATTCTAATATAAACACTTTAATGTCACAGTTTAAAGGTTGCATAACATTTCACTTGAAATTTCATTTATGAATCAGCCAACTTGTTAAAAAATTTAGTGAAGAATACTTCCCTTGGAGTTTTTATGTATATAGGATCTTGTTAAGATTTGTCTGGAGCTTAAGAATTCCCTGAAAAACATGAAGTAATATTTTTGTAGAAGTTTCTCCTACGAGATTGACTTACTTGAATGTGCAGTTATATACTATGGACACAATAATTAATGTAAAAATACTAAAATTGAACAGGAACCGAGAGTTATTGGCGAGGCATCGCGTCGCGTCCTTCAACAGAGGTAAGACATTTCCGATGCGCAACTGCTCGCATGCCCTTTAGACTGTTTTATGTGGATGCTTGCGTATGCCGGTCGTTCTAGTGTTAAAAAGAAGCTCAACCCTTGTCACTCCAAGAATATTAGAAGAGTATAAGAAGTTGGCAGTGTTACTGCCGGTATGAGTGATAAGGGTTAAATGAGGTTATGAGGGTATTACTGCTAAAATAGGTCTTTTGTAGCTTGTTTTAAGGATTTTCTATAAAAGTGGTTTAAAAGCATTGTATACATAGTATCACTTTTAACAATACTCTAAAACACGTCTTTTAATGCTAAAAGTGAGATATGAGTAAAGGCCAAAATGTTGACATGTGTTGAAATGGGAGTGATTTTCAATAAAGCAATTCTTTCCTAGTTAAAGAAACATGCAAATTATGTTGTTGCTTTTTTTACGGTGAAAATGACCACTTATCGAAAATCCCTCCCGTATAAACACACGTTAAAATATTACTTTTACAAAGAGCATTTGTTGAATTGAATTGGTTGAAAAATACGCTCGGAGTGGTTGTCCCCGGGAAGCACTTTTTTTTGTAATTTTTGGGTTTGGAACGAATGATTTGGGATCTTCTTAGCAACCGTTGCTGAACCAAGGCAGAGCCGTATAATCACACCTTAAAATATTACTTTTACAACGAGCATTTGTTGAATTGAATTGGTTGAAAAATACGCTCGGAGTGGTTGTCCCTGGGAAGCACTTTTTTTTTTTCGTAATTTTTGGGCTCGGAACGAATGATTTGGGATCTTAGCAACCGTTGCTGAACCTAGGCAGAGCGTCAAACTGACGTGGTCGTGCGTCCGTGAGTCGACACACAAGAAGCGCCTAGTCCACATCCGTCTAGCCGTTGCGTGTGTCCTACATGTGTAGAGTTGACGCACACATTTTTCGTGCCTCGGTAAACACCGCTCATAAAGCGTT